TTTTTCCATACATAGTAAAAAAAAAAAAAGGCTTTTTTTCCTCTGCCACAGAAGTGAATAGATTGAAGGGTAAAGAGATGATTTCTATTTTTCTTTCACTCAAAAATCTGTCAAGAGTCTAGTTGTGGTAACTCAGCTCAATAGAAAAGTTACGTCTAAAAAGAAAACAGCATTTCTTCACCTTTACTATAAAGTCCTACTAAATAATTATACTGATATGTCACATGCAGTAGAGGAATCCTTGCTGTAGCCACCATGGGGCTGTGTCAGTGCACTGTGGCCCACACACATGGAGCCCTCATCCAGGTAGGTGCACAGCAGGCACAGATACCATGCCCAGGTCCCACTAGAGGCCAGGTCAACCAGAATAGGACAGAAGCACAGAGGGGAGAATCTCTCATAGCTGGAACCTAGAAACACTCATGTGTTCACGTGAAGACAGGAACCTTCATTAACTTTTGAGACTTCAGACTCTAGTTCTTTGTCTAGAGCAATATGTCCCCTCCAACCCCCCATAACTTGGAACTCTGGTAAAGTCTCGCCAAAAATTCTTTTTTGCAGAATACATGAAAATGAATATTTTGCAACCAAACATCTATCTTTATCCCATCATTTCATCAAGATTGTTTTATTGTTATTTAAGATACTGAGGGTAGAACCCAGGGCCTTGTACATGCTGAGCAAGCACTCCACTACTGAGCTATAACCACTAACTTCATAAAGACCACTTTTGTATCAAAGAAATTCAAAAGATATCTTTATGTTAAACACAAAAAGCTTCATGGAAAATTATTTTTCTCGTTTTGTGCCCATCAATAAAAGTGATGCGTCATGTACTAAGATTAACATACAATTTGCTGGGTCCAATTATCAAGCAGAGTGACTGTTCACCCATTCTCCTCCTGACTGACAGATATCTACAGCTCCTTACTATGTTCTCTGTCTCAGTGTTGTTCCTTCTGTCACAAATGATGGCAGTCAATGTTGTTCTGGCAGTTTTATGTTAATGGCCACACACACTAAATTCATTGGAGAAAAGGGAACCTTAAGAATAGGGTATAGACCTAAACAAAGAATTCTCAACTGAGGAAACTCAAATGGCTGAGAAGCACCTAAAGAATTGTTCAATATCCTTAGTCATCAGGGAAATACAAATCAAAACAACCCTGAGATTCCACTTCACACCAGTCAGAATGGTCAAGATCAAAAATTCAGGTGATAGCAGATGCTGGTGAGGATGTGGAGAAAGAGGAACACTCCTCCATTGTTGGGGGGATTGCAAGATGGTGCAACCACTCTGGAAATCAGTCTGGCGGTTCCTCAGAAAATTGGACATAGCATTACCTGAGGACCCAGCTATACCTCTCCTGGGCATATACCCAGAAGATGCTCCAACATATAACAAGGACATATGCTCAACTATGTTCATAGCAGCCTTATTTATAATAGCCAGAAGCTGGAAAGAACCCAGATGTTCTTCAACAGAGGAATGGATACAGAAAATGTGGTATATTTACACAATGGAGTATTACTCAGCTATTAAAAACAATGAATTCGAGAAATTCTTAGGTAAATGGATGGAACTGGAAAATATCATCCTGAGTGAGGTAACCCAATCACAAAAGAACACACATGGTATTCACTCACTCATAAGTGGATATTAGCCCAAAAGCTCGCAATATCCAAGATACAACCACAGACCACATGAAGCTCATGAAGAAGGAAGACCAAAGTGTGGGTGCTTTGGTCCTTCTTAGAAGGAGTAACAAAATACTCATGGGAGCAAATATGGAGACAAAGTGTGAGACAGAAACTGAAGGAGGGGCTGTCCGGAGACTGCTCCACCTGGGTATCCATCCCATGTGCAGTCACCAAAGGCAGATGCTGATATGGAAGTCAGGAAGTGCATGCTGACAGGAGCCTGATACAGCTGTCTCCTTAGATGTCTGCCAGAGCCTGACATATACAGAGGTAGATGCTCACAGCTAACTGTTGATCTAATCAAGGGGTTCCCAATGGAGGAGTGAGAGAAAAGACTGTAGGAGCCGAAAGGGTTTGCCACCCCATGAGGAGAGCAATAATACCAACCAACCAGAGCTCCCAGAGTCTAAACCACCAGCCTGGGACCACATAGGGAGGGGCCCATGGCTCCAGCTGTATATGTAGGGGAGGATGACAGTGTCAGGCATAGGTGGGAGAGGAAGTCCTTGGTCCAGTGAAGGCTAGACGCCCCAGTGTGGGGGAAATCCGTGGGTGGGGAGGTGGGTGTGGGCACATCCTCATAGAAGCAGGAGGAGGAGGGGGGATGGGATAGGGGGTTCCTGGGTGGGGGAAAATGGAGAAAGGGGATTATATCTGAAATGTAAATAAAATATCCAATTAAAAAAAAAAGAACCCCTCCATAAAATCCAGCTGCAGGCAAGCTTATAGGGCACTTTCTTAATTAATGACTGATGGCAAGGGCCCAGCCCATTTGTGGGTAATGTTATTCTAGGGCTCATGCTGTACGCAAGCAGGCTGAGGAAGTCATGTTGAACAAGCCAGTGAGCAGCACTCCTCCATGGCCTCTGCATCAGTTCCTGCCTCAGGGTTCCTGCCCTGTGTGAGTTCCTGACCTGACGTTCTTCAGTGTTGAACAGGGATGTGGAGGTTAAGCTGAATAAACCCTTTCCTCCCCAAATTGTTTTGGTCATGGTGTTTCATTATAGCAATGGTAACCCTAAGACATGGTGTGTGCTGTCTACCTCTACCTCCAGAGTGATGGGATTAAAGGCTTGCACCCCTATACCCAACTAGCTTAAGGGTCACCCATCTCCCTGCCAACCCCTACCTAAATTATTCGTTCCTCCTCATAAAATCAACCATTTTCTTTATATCACTTAGCAAAGTTTCTAATTATGTATTCACCTGTGCTAATTTAACTGATATGTCTCAGTTCTGGTGAGCAAAAATAACTTGTTCAACAACACATCCTAAGGGCCTAACTCAAGTACAGACTATCTTGTATTTGGAAATTATCTTGCAAGAAGAATCGGTGAGTCCTGAAGTGACGAACTACAGGTACTCTGAGTCTCTTCATGTGAGTCTTGCTCTAGCTATCTTTTTGTGACACGAGAGACCATGAGTTTTTGGAAGCTCTAAACAGTAAAGGATGCTTTTGGTTTGTTTGTTTTTAAATACCTACTTAATGTTACAAAGAAGACAAAAGATAAAGAACCTGTGATAAAAAACCTGTTTCAGTGAGCCTGGCACAAACAACAGTAAGAGTGTACCTGAGGTGATAGGAAAGGAATGGTTATATCAGGAACTATGTCCCTACAGATTTCTACAGGAGTTCACAATAGTTTCCAACAGCTTGAGCCTCTGGGTTGGCTTTCCTACAGCTGGAGGACAAAGCAGTCATACGTGAGAGTTGACAGTGCTTCCTTGAGTCTTAAGTATTTTCTCAAGAAAGGTATGCACTACTGCTTTTAAACTGTTTAGGCTGGGAGTACATAGGTCTGTAGATTAGAGAGAGCACTTCGTTAGCCTGTACAATGTCTTAAGTTCAATTCCCAGATCCCAAGACCAGAAAACAGATCAAAACAAAAATTCAGATTGAATCAATATGAGATAAAGGGAAAGTGGAATGCAGTTGTCCACGCGGTTATACCTTTTAGAGGCATCTCTTCGTTTCAGGTCACTGGTCTGTTTAGTACCTACAACTGAAAGGATGACAGTCAAGGGCAAATGCATTTGATATAGCAGAATCTTCTCCAAATATCACACTGTAGGCATCGTTTCCTTTTCTCTCATCTCATTCCCAACTCCGATGTGTTAAAAATAAACAAAACACAATCAAACGGGGGTGGTGGTGGTGGTGTTTAAACAGGTTGCAAATTCCATTGTTTCTGTAAATTACATTTCAAATGTTCATGTCTACAGTCTCTTCGAGGACTGCCCTTTCTCATATACCATATGTGCTTTAATCAAGTGCTTTTAAAAAACCCTCTAAACTGGCTTCCTTTAGACTAAACATTGCTCGCTCTCCCAAATGTTCGCTTGCCTAAAGAGACCTCAGTCTGAGACCTCAGAGAACAGTACCAAAGCAGTTCAAGACAACTGAACACCACCTGCCTTGGCCATTGTTTCCGGAGGGGTGGGTGTACCCAGAACAGCCCACGTAGGGGGAGATCCTAAAACCCCTGCGTAACAGTGTGGCATTCTTCCCCCGAAAGCACTACTAGTGCAGCAGCCTGCGGCGGGAAGCTCTGGGCCTCCTCCACCCGGAGCGCTCTCTCCCCCGGCGCAGCCTCAGAAAGAGCCCCGCGCGTGCGTAGTACAGACCAAGGTCTCAGGGTCCTAACCTGGGAAGGGGCACTTGTTCGTACCGGTAGCGTCTCGGTGGGTGCTGGAAGCCCGGGCACTTGGGCCCAGAGAGTAAGGGATAGCGGAGTTGGCCATGGGAAATGCCGTCAGAAGCAAGAGGCGGGACAGCGCGGCGGCCGCAAGGTTCTTCCTCTACTCGCGTCACCCCCGAACCGGGCTGGGGGCGGGCCCAGGGAGGGCGGGGCGAGCTACGGAGGGGGCTGGCCTAGAGAGGGCGGGGGCGAGCGGTGGAGGGGGCGTGCCCAGCACGGGGCGGGGCGAGCGCCGGAGGGGGCGGGTCCAGTCCCGGGGCGGGTCCAGGAGTGCGGCCTGCACTACCCGAAGTGGAGAAGGAGGAGGGTAAGAGGCTGGCGCGTGGTCCGGCGGGTAGGTAGATGTGCTGGGTCTGGGTGGATCGGGCTCGCCGAACACGACCTGTGCCGCACGCGGCTCGCCTGCTAGGCCCCTGGAGGTGCTGGAGCCTGGACACCCTGCCCTGCAGAAGCAGAGAGAGGGAGAAATGGCCTCCCTTCGGTTCAGCCAGGCGCGGTAGGGTGTGATTTTCCTGTTAGCGCCTGCGGGGCAAGGACCATCACTGCTGGCCTCATTTTCGTGATCCTCGGTGATCTCACTGACGATTGTTTTGTGTGAGGAGAGAGATCCTGTGGAGAATAGGGTGGGCGGCATCGGAATCTTCAACTTCTTTGGGTGACTTAATTGTGTTGGATTCCAGTTTTTGTCAATGGGACATTTAAAAAATTACCTAATGATTAGAATTTTCATTCCAGGTCCACAGTTTGGATTTTTGTTTTCCATGAAGGATTACTTTTTCCTTTTTTAAAAAAGGCTCTTTTTAGTAGTTCTTTCTAGGGCTCTTGTTCTTTTTTTACTCGTCATTCTTTAAAAATTAGGCTCTTTAGGCATTTACAGTAGGGGCTTTAAAAATACTTCATTAGGCTAACACACTTAACGTTCAGTAATAGCAGTTAACCTATAAAACTTTATATTATGTTGTCTAATAATTCAAAAAGAAACAGTTTATGAAACATAATTTACATGGTATCACACAATTAACTGTATTTTTGTATTTCAGCATCAAAACTAGGAAAAGTAATTAGCTATGGCTGTGGAGGAACTTCAGTGCATAATAAAAAGATGTGTAAGTACCTCTCTGAAGACACCATTAAAAATATGGGAAGGGCAGAGAGTATCTTTACTTTCTGATCACTCATATTATTTATCTTACTAATTCCTGCTTTTTTTTTGACTCGTAAATATCAAATAATCAGGAAAGTAGACTGGATGATGGTGGTGGTGGAGGCTTTTAATCCTAGTACTTGGGAGGCAAAGGCAGAGGGGTCTCTGTGATTTTGGGGTTGGCCTGGTTTATGTGGTGATTTCCAGGACAGCCCAGGCTATGGTGAGAGACCCTCACTCACAAAAGGGGAACAAGGGGCTAGAGAGATGATTAAGAGCACTTATTCTTGCAGAGGAAGCAGTATTTAAAAGCATATTAAATCATGTATATGTCTGTTTATGTGTGTGTGGGTGGGAGGGACAGACATAAGTGCGGAGTATGGAAGCCAGAGGTTTAGGACCACCTGGAGCTGGAGTTACCGATGAGCCAAGTGTCCTGGTGCTGGGAGTTGAACTCAGGTCCTCTTGCTCTTACCTCCCAAGCCATTTCTCTAGTCCCACTGAGCCTTTAATGTTAAATCTCTTATTGTTTTCATAAGTTTCTCTGGTGCAGTAGGTTCAAGGTCATTCATTGAGCTGTACTGATTCATGCTTATAACCAGCAGTCAAGCTACGTCAAGAGGATCTGAAATTTCCAGATCAGCCTAAGCTTCATCATGAGAGCCTGTCTCAGAAGCCAAAATGAATAAAGCCGATCAGAAAAATATTTATTAGGATAATTCTAATTGTCATCTGTGTATCATGTGCATTCTCTCTACAGTTTAAGATTTCAGTTTTTTCCTAGAGAAATAAAATCAGGAAGTCATTTATATTAAATTTGTATTTGCATCTGTATGAAGTTTTGGTGGTTTGTTTACAGCAAATCCTAGAAGAGCATGATTTTAAAGAAGAAGATTTTGGCCTCTTTCAGCTAGCAGGCCAAAGATGCATTGAAGATGGGCATATAAACCAGCTGCTAGAGATTATTCAAGATGAGCAGAACAGGGTAAGCCCAGGCTCTGTGTTTATTCTTCAGTCTTTGTTTGGGAAGGGAATAATACATTGTTGTTGTAACTTATTTGGGAAAGGAATAATACATTGTTGTTATTACTCATTTGGGAAGGAAAAAATACATTGTTGTTAACCATTTATCCGTCCTCTTAGTTACTTTTCTACTACTGTGATGAGGGAGCATGACCATGTCTCAGCCTTCCTTAGAGAAGGAACAGTTTATTGGGGCTTACAGGTTCAGGGGATGAGTTCATGGAGATCACACCTGAGAACCATCAACCTAGTAATTATCTGGCTGTTGAGGCTGGGTGTCTCAGCAGTCAGCGAAGTCCGACAATGACTGTCCCCACTGGGGCAGAGCTGGGTGGCTTAGGGGTCTTGTGTGAACCCAGAAACCTAAAACGGCTGTAGAGCTGGTCCTAGGTCACAGTGAAAGCTTAGAAAGTCTGATTTTGATAGTAGGGAAGGAGGCAGCACCAGCACCAGCACTGAGTCGATCTTCCTTCTGCCATGCCCTTCCTTCCCACCCCCCCCCAACCCCCAATGCTGCTACCACATCATCCAAAGCAGTTAGGATGCTGCTGCATCATGTGAGGATCCCAGCTGATGCTAAGATCAACTATAGCATACTTTTTATGGCTCCCAATACAACCGGTTTTGTGGGGTTTTGTTTTTGAGGCAGAGTCTTTAGCCCATGCTGTCCTGGAGTTCTTAAACCCACTATGTGTTTTTCGTTGTTTGTTTGTGTGTGTGGCAGTGGGGGGGAGGGAGAGGGAGAGGCATATTTGTGTGAGGGTATATGCAGGTGCATGTTGAGACCAGGGGTCCACATTGATTGTCTTCCTCAGTCACTTCCCATCTTTTGAAACAAGGTCCCTCACTGAACCTGGAGCTAATACATTCATCTAGGCTGGGTGCCAACAAACTCCAGGGACCTGCCTGTCTCTGTGTTTTCTAAGTTTTCTTAATTTTTCCCAGTTGCATTACCAAAGGATAACTTTTGACAATACTGTTGCTATCAGTATTAAAATTAATTACTAATACTTAAGTTTATGCCAGACACTTTTTGGTATGTTACCTTATTTAGCCTCTCCAGTGTCTCATAAGCTAGGCACTGCTATTAAATTCATTTTGTAATCCCTGCAACTCTAAGCAACTTGAGAGGCTGAGGTGGGAGGACTACAGATTCAAGACCACCTGGGCAATATGATGGGACTCTTTTTTCAAAAGAAACAAAAAAAACCAAATCAATTACTTTATAAAGAAGAGACCATCACTGAAAGACACATCAGCTTTTATATGACATCCAGAATTCAAACTTTTCGAGGTCGTGACTACTATCTTGGACCTGAGATAAGATGTCCGGTGTCCCAGGCAGGCCTGAAAGTTACTATGCAGTTGAGGACCTTGGACTTCTTAGTCTCCTACTTCTACCTGGAATTATAGATGTGTGCCACTACATCGGATTTATATGGTGTTGGGGACAGAGCCCAGAGCTTTGTGCATGCTAGGCAAGCATCTACCGGCTGCTCTGTGCCCCTAGGCTTACAGGAAAGCTGAGGTAGAGTGGAAGAGAAGATGGTAGTGGGGGCCAAGGCAAACAGGATGACTCTTGGTTTTGTTTGTTTTTCTATGTGTTTTTGTTGTTTGCATCTGTAACACAGGATGTGATCTCCTCAACAAAAACAACCTTACTTAAAGAGAAAGCTTGCAAAAGGAAGGCAAAGGAGTTGACTTTGAGAAATTTTGTTTTATAAGACAGCAGGTGCCGGGCAGTGGTGGCCCATGCCTTTAATCCCAGCCCTTGGGAGGCAGAGGCATGCGGATTTCTGAGTTCGATGCCAGCCTGGTCTATGGAGTGAGTTCCGGGACAGCCAGGGCTATACAGAGAAACCCTGTCTTGGAAACAAACAAACAAACAAACAAACAAAAGGCAGCAGTCGATGGGAAAGTAAGGTTTTGATTTATATATAGAAATAGAAGACTACTATTTGGCTCTGGATCTTTGCATCCCTCTGAGTGAGCTGCTGGGTGGAGCCTCTCAGAGGACAGCCATGCTAGACTTCTGCAAGCATAACAGAGTATCATTAATAGTGTCAGGGATTGGTGCTTGTCCATGGAATAGATCTCAAGTTGGTCCAGTTATTGGTTGGCCATTCCCCCAGTCTTTGCATTTCTTGTAGACAGGATAAATTTGGGGTTGAAAGTTTCATGGGTGGGTTAGTGTCCCTATCACTGCCCTGGGGTTCCTGCCTGTCTACAGGAGGTAGCCTCTTCAGGTTCCATATCTCCACTGCTATGAGTCTCAGCTAAGGTTACCCCCCTTGATTTTTGAGTGTTTGCCCAATCCTAGGTCTCTGTCACATCCTCTAGATGCCCCCAACTCAGTTGCAGATTTCCATTCATTTTCATGGCTATCCAGCCCTCTCCCCTGATCCAGAACCCCCCTCCCCCTTCTCCTCCTTATCCCTTCTCCCACCCAGTTTTCTCCCTCTGCCAACTATGACTATTTTATTCCCTCTTCTGAATGAGATTCAAATATCCTTGCTTGGGCCTTCCTTCCTTGTTTAGCTTCTTTGGGTCTGTGGAGTGTAGCATGGGAATCCTGTGTTTTATAGCTAATATCTACTTATGCGTGAGTACATACCATACATGAGCTTGGGGATTCTTATGGAAGAGTTGGAAGAATTTTGGGTCCTGAAGAAGATAGGAACTCCACAGGAAGACCAACAATGTCAACTATCCTGGACCCTTGGGAGGTCCCAGAGACTGAACAGCCAACCAAAGAGCATATACAGGCTGAACCTAGGCTTTTCCATACAGATGTAGCAGATGTGCAGCTTGGCCTTCATGTGGATATATGAGTCTTGAACAACTATCCCATCTGTGGCATATGTTCTTCTAGCTATGCTGCCTTGTCTGGCCTCAATGGGAGAGGATGTACCTAGCCCCACAGGGACTTGATGTGCCAGGATGGGGGGGTGGGATATCTAGGGAGCCTCCACTCTTTCAGAGGACAAGGGGAAAGGGGGAGGGGAGGAAGGATTGTTGGAGGGGGTAACCAAGAGGAGGGGCAGTGAGTGGGATGTAAAGTGGATAAAGAGAAAATGAGAAAAAAACTGACCAACCCAAGGAAAGTACCTCTACTATTAAATTCTGTGTGCACTCACACATACACACCCACCCCCTCAGAGAGAGAGAGAGAGAGAGAGAGAGAGAGAGAGAGAGAGAGAGAGAGAGAGAGAGAGGGAAATAGGAGACTCAAATGTAAATTTGTATGTGCTCTTCAAAGTTAGGTAATTAAAGCATTAAGGATAGGAAAGATTTTGAGTTCTCAAAAAGAGGCAGAGAAGAGGCCTGGGATGTCATCTTGTAAAGTTTTGTGAGTATGATGTGCATATGTGTAGTGCCATGACCGGTTTCTCGTGGGTTCTGGGGATTGAAATTTGTATCCTCAGTCTTATGAGCATTGTGCCCACTGAGCCATCTCCCCAGCTCTCTTGGCCCATCCTGAGGAACTGAGGAGCAAGTTGCTGAGAATACAAGTGTCAAGATGCGCCACGGAGCACGGCATCAGTGAGGCAGAAGAGCAGGGAGCATAATAACACTCAGGTGTTCTGTGGCTGAGTGGCTTATTTTTAGTATGTTTCTAAACGGCTAACAGGATAAATTTAAAGATAGTAAGGCTTAGGCCTAATATCTGGAAATCACTTTTGTACTGGATAATCTGATAACTACAAGATTCAGATTTCAACACAATATTTAACACTGATCACAACTTGATTTTCCTTCCAGGTGATGTTTTCAGGACTGATGCCGATTTACTATTGATCCGTCCACATTAATATTTTTAAAGGCCGTAGGAAGACTAACTTGTCTTAAGACCTTGTAATGTAGACTTTTATACTTGAACACTGTTTGTATTCTGGCGAGGATCACTGTCCTGTGCATTGTAGAATGTGCAGCAGCAGTGCCTTCCTACACCAACCAAAGGTCTCTAGACCTTGCCAAGTATCCCCTGGGAACTTGAAAGCAAGACTGCTCCAGTGGAGAGTGTGGGGAAGCTTAGGCTTGGAGCTGGAGAGATGTGAACTCTGGCTTTGCCACAGTTTTATGTAAGGTGTGTGTGGGAGGGGCAGCACCCCATGCTGCTGGGGTGCTGGAGGGGTGTAACAGTATTACCCTGTTTGTTGTGTGTTGAGGGGTAACAGTATTATCCTGTTTGCTGCTGGGAAGTGGGGGTAACAGTATTACCCTATGTGGGGGAGCGTGCGTGTGTGTTTGTGGGGTAGATAATAGCATTATCTTGTACCAAAAATGTACATATACTAAGTAAACAAATAGTTAAACAGTTGTTTAAATATTTAGATAAACATTTTCAGAGGATCACTTATAGAAAGAAGTAGAGCTGTACAGAGAGGAACTTCTAGTTAGAAGGTACAGCACCAGGAGTTAGGACTACTGTTTTGTATTTTTTGTTTTTTTAAGCTTAAGGACAATTGTATCAGAGTTTAAGAGAAAACCAGTCTGTCCTAGGCAAGCTGTAATCTCAGCAGCTGTTCAGGGAGAGCAGAAAGGAAACAAAAGCCTGTGCTTAAGTTAAGCTGGTGAAGAGGCTGGCCTCATGGTAGCAGGCAGCTCTATGGCAAGAAGTGTGGTTTTAGAGAAAGAGCAAGGCAGCCTATAGCCCACAGGAAGAGTACCTGGTCTGGCCCGCAGCAGAAAGAGACAGAAGAAAAGAGGAAAGATGCTGATGTGCGTGGAGAACTGTGCTGGGGCCAGGGATCCTGGAAATGGAAAGTATAGGATGTCACCGAAGAAATAATTAACCTGCCAAATTTTAAAAAGTGAATTTAGTCTTCTTTAGCAAGTTATGGTGAGAAAATAATTTAGTAAATTTTCAAAAACTTGCCGGGCGGTGGTGGCGCACGCCTTTAATACCAGCACTTGGGAGGCAGAGGCAGGCGGATTTCTGAGTTCGATGCCAGCCTGGTCTACAGAGTGAGTTCCAGGACAGCCAGGGCTACACAGAGAAACCCTGTCCCGAAAAAATAAAAAATAAAAAATAAAGTATTTAAAAAATATATTCAAGAATTCATGTTATAAATTAGTGACTAAGTTTTTGAAAAAGTATTTTGTTTTTGTTCTTTGAGACAGGGTTTCTCTGTATAGCCCTGGCTGTCCTGGAACTCACTCTGTAGACCAGGCTGGCCTCGAACTCAGAAATCCGCCTGCCTCTGCCTCCCAAGTGCTGGGATCAAAAGGCGTGCGCCACCACTGCCCAGCTAAAATACTTTTTTAATGATTTGTTTATCTTCATTTTATGTGCATTGGTGTTTTGCCTGAATGTATGTTTGTGTGAGGTTATTGGATCCCCTGGAACTGGAGTTACAGACAATTGTAAGCTGCCATGTGGGTGCTAGGTATTGAACCCAGGACCTCTGGAATAGCCAGTGCTCTTAACTGCAGAGCCGTCTCTCCAGTCCTGAATTTGTGACTCTTAAAATTCAAACTATGCCAAAAATACAGGAAAATGGAACATCAGATCTTTGGAAGCAGGATAATTTGCTGTACTTAAAAGTTGATAGATAACATTGTACTGTATATACCTACTTTGTTTGTTACCTTGGTCACTAGACCTGTTACTTTGTAACAGGTCCTGTGCTTGCTGCTGGCACTAGATACAGTAACAACAAATAAGCCCCTGCCCAGAAGAACTCCTGTAGTAACGTTTTTTTGTTTGTTGGCTTACTTGTTTGAGACAGGGTCTCTGTATGTAGTCTTAGCTGTCCTGGAGCTCCTATATAGACCAGGCTGGTTTCAAACTCAAAGAAATCCTCCTGCCTTTGCCCTCTAATTGCTGGACTTAAATATATGAACCACCATGCCTGGCTTACAACATGACATCCTAGTAAAAATATATACGCGAAAAGAGGTATACAAAATGGAAGTAAAAATATAGAGAGAGGAAAGTAGGTCATGGTGAAGGAGATGGACTATGTATAGAGGTTTGAACAAAGAGGAGATGTTGTCTGTGGGACTCTGAGAGAGAGGTGCTGGACAGAAGCCACCACAGCACTAAAGGAATATTCAAGGAAAGCTCTGGAGAAGATACATGCTTAGCAAGTGTGAGGACCATGACCTGCGTTCAGTTCCCGGAACCCATGTAAAGGTGGAAGGAAAGAACAGATTTCACAGGATTGTCCTCTGCCCTGTACTCAACACACATACACACACATACACACACGCACCCATATACTCACATGTACACTCATACATACACATACACACATAGTAAAATGAATATTTTTAGAAAGACAGTTGAATTAGATAAAAGCATGATTTTGTTCATTAAAATTTGTATTTCATCTTTAACATTCTGAGTATTGGTTTCATTGAATAAAAAGAGAAAGGTGAATTTTTAAAACAGATGTGACTATAAATCTCTAAAATGACCTTTAATTCATTTTATGCCTAAATAGTGAACCTACCCTTCCCCCAAATCAGTGTATTTGGGTATATCTAAAATAAAAGAGTCTAGGCAGACATGACGGTGTGTCCCTTTGTCTCAGTTACTATGGTAACTGAGGGAGAGACCACTTGAACCTAAAGACTAGCCTGGTAAGATCCTAAGACGTCTCAAAACAACAGGAACAATCAAAGCAAACATTTGTCAGAATGCAGCTGACAGATATTTGCATTTGTATGCTTAACATTTATGCTACAACTTGATAGAGCCCCCAGAGTATCCAGTTGACTTGTGAGCAAAGCTGACACTATCTCTGCTTTGGTCTTCACATCTTAGTAAAGCTCTGGAATCTCTAAGGATTGCTGAGCCTCATGTGCCTTAAAGATCTTTTGTAGCCTATCTACTCTTGACTGATTTGTTTCTTCAAAACGCTTTAACTTAGCCCTGGAAATCCTCTCTTGCCTTTCCTAGCTACAAATGACTTTTCTCTTATTGGCTTCATATTCTGCCTCTATTGTGGGAGTTTCACACCATGCACTGATTAACATCACTTCCCAGTCCTTCCATGTTTGCCACCCCCGCCCCCACTCCCTGCTTGTAACCTTCCCTAAAAGAAGTAAAAGATAAATAAAAACAAGAAAAAAGGAAAGGGGGAAAAGTCTACTTGTATTAGCTATATATTCACTGGAACATGGCCTCTCTCTCAGCGTTCTGCTTCTTAACTAGGATTGAGTCCTTTCCCTCCCACATCTCTGCCTGAAGCCATCGGTTGTGGAGAGCTGCACTTCAACATCCCCATTGTTTTAAGAGTTCTAGCTTCCTGTCTAGGCTGGTTTTTTGGTTTTTTTTGTTTTTTTTTTTTTTTTGTAGGAGGGTAGAGGGGGTGGGTAGGGGTTGTCAGAGGATCCTTCCATGTTCCTCCCTCTCAACTGTATCTGCAGTCATTGATACCATAGCAAAAATAGCCTCCTTGCTCTTCCCAGTCAGTGGAGTGTAGATCATGGGCCTTCACAGACCACAAACATGGTTCTCTGTTGTAGTAGGATCCTGAATCAGGGAAGGCCCTTGGAGGCAGCATGACCCATAGACATCAGCATGGCCTCAAGTGGCAGTGCCAACCATGGACCTCCACATGGCCTTTGGTGGTTACTCGAACTGTTGCCACCAACACAGACAGACCCAAGTGTGGCCCTCAGCAGGAAGAAGGACCCATATATCACCATGGAACCAGGTGGCAGTACAGGAGACTCATATCAATATGGACCCCCCAAAACAGCACAGACTCTGAACATAAATATGGCTTCAGCCTACAACTCAGGCCATGGACCTCCACGTGGCCTTTGGTGGTAAATTGGATCATAGACATCAGCACATACCCTTGCTGCAGTAGGGCCTGGATTTACCATAACCTCAGGTGACAGCCCAGGCTACTCAGATCAGTATGGCTCCTGGTGGCAGCATGGCCCAGGGACATCCATGTGGCCCCAGGTGGCTGCACTGATCATGGTCCACCATGGACCTTGGCATGGATTTTTGGGATCATTGTGGTAACTCAGACCACAGATTTCAACACAGGGCCTGGCTGCTGCAGGACCACAGACCCAGACATGATCCTTAGTAGCAAGGACCTAGACATCACTGTGACTTCAGGTGGCAGTATAGGTCACTCAACATCAGTGTGCTGCACTCCAGTCCACCCCCACTACCCCCACTCTCCCCAGGCCTGGCTGCCTCTGCCACTGAGCACCTGCCCAAGAATTTCATAGAATGATTTTTTTTTTCCGCTGATGTGTTAGTACCTAGAGTATTAGTACATGTATGGTATGTATTAACGACTTGAAAGAAATCAAGCCAGGGAGTTAGGATATATTGTTAATAATTTTGAAAATCTGGTTTTTAATGTGAATGTAAATCATTAATTTTAAAGGTAACTTTTATGTGGAAAGCATTTGAAATTGTTTGAAAAGAGAAGAAAATTGGTGGGTAGTAGTGGCCCACAGGTTTAAACCCAACACTTGGTGAGGCAGAGGCAGGCAGATCTCTGCCTTTGAAGCCAGCCTGGTCTACAGAGTGAGTTGCAGGACAGTAAACGCTGTCTCGAAGAAAAAAAAGAAAGAAAAAGAATAAAATTGTGTGTAGGAGAGAATGAAAAAGAAGTCACATTCCTCCTTTCATATCTTGTCAAAAATAACAGAAGTGTTTAGGTCCTAGATCTCGTTGCTGAGTGGAAAGTCAAGACCATTTTGCCTCCTTCAGTGAAAACATCGAAAGTGTTTGAACATGGTGACGGCTGCTGGCCATGAGCATGTCAGAGGTGAAGTGAGAGTCTCACCTGCCTCGTCCTTGCTGCGGGAGAGACACCATGTCCCTTCAGGTCAGGAAAGCACCCTGAGTTCTCTAGATGACACTGTTTGCTTTCTTCTTCCTGCTTGCAGACCATCATTAAGTCTATGGGGTGGAATCTTGTCGGTCCTGTTGTTCGATGCCTCCTGAGGGGCAGGGAAGAGGATAAAAGAGAAGAGTGTTTTCTGATATTTGATTTGTTGGTGAAGGTGAGTCAGTAAGGCTTGCTCTGCCCGTCATGCACACAGAAGCACCACAGTTCCCTTCCACGTTTAATTCTTGTTCTTCAGTAAGGAAATTTTAGTCCAGGGAATTATTCCTAGATAGTGCCCAGCTGTACTTGACTGGATGAGTGGGTAGCTCCATCTGAGCACATCAGCATTTCTAGATACAAGAGTTATCCATTCTGAGGCCCCCGATTCAGTTTCCAGTAGGAAAACTATAATGTAATTTAACAAGTATTCTCATTATATAGGGGAAGTCATGTTTAGAATGCCATGCTGACCCTTTTTTTGCATTAGAACCAGAATCTAATACCAGATATGAAAGTTGAAAAGAGCCTGTAAAGGGGGTGGGAGTTAGTGGGAAGTGTATGGGGGATCAACAATAACAATGTTTGTTTGAAAATGCCATAATAAAATCTAATATAGGAAACTAGAGACTGCAGGGACATACACAAATGAGTACTCGAATGAGAACGCTTCTTCCACGTAACAGGTGTTTGTTATGAGGACTTTTATAGAGGGAGCCAGTGGTTGGGGATGTCACTCTGGTGGAGGTGCTAAGAAAGTTAAGCAGATGGAAGCCTTAGGATATGGCTGTTGGGATGCACCATAGAGTGTTGAGAAAGCACAAGAGACCAGTGGTGCAGGGTCAGGGCCCTGCATGGAGCGTCTACAGTCTGCAGTGCAAAGGCCTGAGCTCTGAAGGGCCTTTAACAACTGAATAGGGCATTTTACAGTAAGCAAATATAACTGTATTTTCTCGTATGTCTTCTTTAAAATAGTAATCATGTGGCTTTAAATGCAACTTGTATTAAACAGGTTCAATTGTGAATATTTTTATAGTTGTGTAATCCAAAGGAATTGTTGTTGGGTTTGCTTGAACTCATTGAAGAGCCCTCCGGAAAACAGATATCCCAAATTATTCTTCTTTTACTGCAGCCATTACAAACAGGTAATGAGCATTTTGATATCCAAGTATTTCTTGTTTTATTTGCATAAATACCTTGATGTTTACCCCTAAATATGAACAGTCACTGCATGCTCAGCTCTTAGGCTGTCTCAGCAGGAAGAACGGCCGGTTAGCAAATACCGTGTTGTATGTCATACTGATGGTGTGTGTGTGGCTCTTTGGTTAGCTAGAGGCCAGAAGTGAACATCAGTTCCTCTAGAGTCAGAGACAGGTGTAAGCTGCCACATGGGTGCTGGGAACTCAGTTTGGGTCCTCAAGGAGAGCAGCCAGTGCTCTTCCTCGTAGCCACTGAGCCGTTGCTCTGGCCCCTTAGCTTCTTCTCTGCAGCTCTAGACTCTCTAAGCAGATTTAGTGTCTGAGCTGTGGTACCTGCAGCATGCAGTCTAGCAGCTGTGGTAGTCCTGGAGTTTGGTTGAGAAGGATATGAGACAAGGTAGTGCTCAGTCTTTGAATTGGGAGGCTGGTGTTAAAAGGTTCAAGCAGAGTGAAGTGAGGCATGACGAGAGTGTCACCGTTCAGTATTGGCAGTAATGGCTCTCAGCAGCTAAGACAGACACTTGCCATGAAAGAAGCTCTTTACTGTTTGTGTGTATGTAGCACTTATATATGCTTCAGAATACGATAGAGGGACCTAGACACACTTAAATATTCAAAGTCTTCTAAGGACACAAAAAGCTCTTTGATACTCTTCTACATTTATACAGTGCTTTGCAATTTTCCATTCATATTTTTTTACTTATAATCAAAAATAAGGGAAAGATGTAACCAGTTATAAAAATACTGTATTCGTTGGTTTTCTTATTGCTGGGCCTAAGTGCCTGACAACTGGCAATTTAAAAAAAGAACTGTTGATCTGGTTAGGGTCCATAGTCCATCATGGTAGAAGTATCTGGTCACATCACAATGACAGTCGCAGTAGTGAGGTCGGGCTCTACCACCTCAGAGCCTGCCTCTAGTGACCACTTCCTTCAGCAAGACTCCACCTGCTAAGGATCCAGTACCTTGTCCTGTGTGGAGGGTGCTCACGGGGTGACACAGGTAACTGCTCACGCATGAGCATGGGTAACCACTTCCGAGGTGAGCACAGGTAACGGCTCATGTGTGAGCACAGTAACGGCTCATGTGTGAGCACAGTAACGGCTCATGTGTGAGCACAGGTAACGGCTCATGTGTGAGCACAGTAACGGCTCATGTGTGAGCACAGGTAACCACTTGGTCTCTGTTGCAGTTATTCAGAAACTTCCTAACAACAAGGCATACTCCGTTGGATTAGCATTGTCTACACTTTGGAGTCAGCTGTCTCTTCTTCCCGTCCCACATTCAGAAGAACAAATTCGGGCAGATGACTATGGCCTTTGTCAGTGTTGCAAGGCCTTGATAGAGTTCACGAAACCTTTTGTGGAAGAAGTAATTAGTGATAAAGAAAACAAAGAAAATGCAAAACTAAAAGATGAATTACTGAAATTGTAAGTATATTTTGGAGACCATCTCACAGTGGAGTGACTAGTGAATAGCTCAGTTACCCTATGTTTCTTATTTGTACATACAAACCTAGTTTCATATTTTGAATTTTAGACAGATAGACATTGGGCTGATACACTGTGGTTGTTTTCTGAGGCACTGACAGTACAAAACCAAGTCCTTCACTTAATTCACTTTCATCCGTCACAGCAAGCAAACACTGTAAGTGGGCGGGACCTACACTCAATTCAAGGAACTTATTCTGTCTCTGGAAAATTGTATTTGAAAACAGTAGATGGACCACTAGACAGCTGAACATCCACCATAACTGCAAATTCAGCAAAGTGCTCACCCATTCTCTCTCACACCGTGCATGGGTTGTAACTAAACATCCACCACTGTTCAATATGGCTGCCAAGCCCTTAGCATATGGATGGTCCAAACTAAGATGTGCTATCAGTATGAAACAGCCTCCAGATTTGAAAACTTTAAAAGGAAGACCATAGCTGGATATGGTGGCGCTCCCCTGTCATTCCACCCCTCAGGGGGTGTGGCAGGAGGATTATAAGCTAGAGCCTGGATTATAGAGTAAATTGTCCCAAAAAACCAAACCAACACAAAACCTCCAAAACAAAGAACACACGCATACCATAAAGAGAAAGAAAAGAGTAAAGTTCCTGAATAATCTTTGTATGATTGTGACCTATCAAAATATTTCAGCTATATTGGGATAATTGAGGTCAATTACTGATTTCTCTGTTAACAACTTTTCTCGTGTGACTACTAAGAAATCTTAAATTCTAAATTATATATGGAATTTGTGTTAAATTTCTCCTGGACAGTATTGATTTTTTTTTTTTTAATTTGGGAGACTAATGCTACTGTTTCTTTTCTATTTTGCTGGGTTAAGGCATTTAAAGTTGTTTTTAAAAACGAAAAAATTGTTTAAAAAAACATTTTAAAGAACCAGAAAAGACTTAGTTATAGAATAAAGTTAGATTTTTAAAAAAATACAACTCTATGAAAAAAATTCCTATATTGTTCTGAATTTTCCTTGGGCCAGTGATGCGACCTCCTGGACTAGCACTGGTCCTCAGGAGACATTCAGCATCAGTTATAACAGTGTAGAAATTAAGTTGAATCTGAGTTATGGAGTCCAGCAAGGCATTCTTGTGTTTTCCCATCACTGTCACGAGTGAGAAAGGATTCATCGTCTTTACAGACTCTGAACTATCGGGGCTTGCCTGAGGCCACTTGTGTGACTAGTGAAATACCAGGTGATTTGTAATAAAAGTGTATTTATTGGTTTGCAGTTCTAGGCTGAGGCTCAGGTATGCTTCAGAACAGGTATGTTTTCAGAACAGCTTTTTCTTTCCCATGATGGGGAGCCTCCCTTTCAAGGGTCCCACTTGTCAATACAGTCACAGCGGCAGATTTCAGCCAGAGTTTCGGGAATGAAAAACCCATGCAGCCTCATGAAAAGCCAGATAGGAAGAGCTAGATGTGTCACGCCTTGGAGTGTTGACTGCAGAGTTGCCTGTTTCTTATGTTGTAGCTGTTTGAAAAGCTTGAAATGCCCTTTGCTGACAGCACAATTCCTCGAACAGTCTGAAGAAGTTGGAAATGACCCTTTTCGGTGTTTTGCATCTGAAATAATAGTAAGTACTATTATTAGCCAATCTAACCTACTACATAATACTTGTAATTTTAAATTTATCCTGCTGTATTGTGATATATGACCAGTTAAACTGATAGTTTATTAATAGGGCAGTATGTAGTTTTTTAGAACACAGATAAATAACAGTATGGAAATTAAATAGCAATAATATTATCCAAAGCCTTCCAAACGTTTCTATTTATATGCTAATAAACAAGAAAATGTATACATGCATATAAGGTCTTGAAAATGTGTATTTTTTCTCTTAATTCTCTAATACAAATCGTTGGTATTAATTTAATATTTTTTTTTAGAGAGAGTATGTGAATGAGTGTTGTGTGTATGTGTTTATGTGTATTTGGCCTGAGTGTCTGTGTACCACATGCAAGTAGTACCTTTGGAAACCAGAAGAGAACATCAGATCTTATTTATTAGCCAACATGTGGGTGCTGGGAACTGAACTTGGATCCTCTAGAAGAGCAGCCAGCCCCCATCTTAAGCGTTTTAAAGTGCAGCATTAAGTGCATTTCCACTACCGTGCAATGTCAATGTGTGATGTCACCAGTGCTGCCATCTCAAGAACATGTCTTTCCACCTGAATTCTGTACTTGCTAAGCATCCCCTCCCACCCCCCACCCCCCACCCCCGCACTGCCTGGCTAAGCACTTCCCCCAGCCCCACCCTCCCCTGCCCATCCTGTCAGTGCCTGGCAGCTGTCACGCTGTATCGGAAAGCACTTATAGTTTTCATGATGAAATGGTTTCTCTCTTTTTCTTTATTGTGATATTTTGGAGACAAGGTCTTTCTATATGGTTCTGGCTATCCTGGAACTCTCTTTACAGTCCAGGCTGGCCTTGAACTCAGAGATCCACTTGCATCTATCTCCCAAAATGGTGTGCCCAGCTTTGTGTTTTAAAGTTACTCACTTTATTTGTGTGCACTGGCCAAGGAGGCTAGAAGCAGGTATTGGATCCCTTGGAACTGGAGTTGTAGATGGTTGTGAGCTGCCATGAGGGTGCTGGGAACCAAACCTGGGTCTTTTGTAAGAGCAGCAAGTACTCGTAACTGCTAAGTCATTTCTCCAGCCCCTGAAATGATCTGCTTTAGCTTACTCTAAAGCCGTCCCTCCAGCAATCAGGTAATTTGGCTATCAACAAAATTGATGTATATAATATGTACCTTCAACTATGATTTTGAGTGAGATCATGTAAATAAATAAATAAATAAATAAATAAATAAATAAAGCAAAGCAAAGCAAAGCAAAAACTTTGCCTGAATAGGTAAGGCTCATCCAGGGTAATCTTTTGAATAACTCAAAATCAATTGATTCAAGACCTGCATTACAGCAGCAGACTCCTCACTGGCTTTAGTCAGTGTTCTGTTGCTGTGAGGAGACACTGTGACCATGGCAACTCTTCGGAAAGAGAGCACTGAATGGGGACTTGCTTACAGTTTCAGAACTTTGGTTCACTATTTCCATGGTGGAAGCATGGCAGCACGCAGGCAGACATGGTGCTGGAGAAACAGCTGAGAGTTTTCCATCCAGACCCACAGGCAGCAGGAAGAGAGAGTCTGGGCCTGGTTTGGGCTTTTGAAATCTCAGAGCCCCCCCCCCCAACTGACATACCTCCTCCAGTGAGACCACACCTACTTTAACAAGGTCATACCTCCTGTTCCTTCTCAAGTAGTGCCTCTCGTTGATGATCAAGCAGTCAAGTGTGATCCCATGGGCCCTTCTTACTCAGAGCACTGCACTCACCTTTGCCATTTAAGAGGATCTAACAAGGGAGTGACGTTCACAGCAAGTACCTCAAATTGTGTATAACTTCAAAGAGAAGGGGTGTGGACAGTGTGGCTGTGGGGTAAATGAGTGGTAAATAGTTCATATGCCAACAGCTTCCTTTTTTTAAAAACCCATTTCACAGGGATTTTTATCAAAAATTGGACACCCTGTCCCCAAAGTTATTCTTAATCATGGAAGGAAAAAAAGGACTTGGGATTACCTTGAATTTGAAGAAGAAGACGACAAACAACTGGCAGACTCTGTGGCTTCTCTGACGTATCTAGTGTTTGTTCAGGGCATTGGTGTTGACCAGCTTCCCATGGTGTTAAGGTAAGAGTCAATCGCAAACTCTTTATTTATTTAATATCCAGTACATGTATATTAATATACTAGTACACTGAAAGATGACAGATTTGAGATGCCTAGGATTTTTGGGAATCTCTATCAGTGTAAGAAAAGACATCAGTTCTGTGTGGCTTCAGGTGGTGGTGTGAAAAGGCACGGAGTAGGACAGCATCGTAGAGACCAGATGAGATCCAGGTGTATTGAATATCAGGCTTGTAAAGGAAACAGCATAGTGTAACACTGAGTGTGATGGAAAGTGGTTGAGATAGAGAGAATCTGCCCCCATGGAGCTACAAGAGGAAGAAAGAAGAGCATTGATGAGCCCCACAGGCACAGAGTATGACATTCTGCACGACACATTTAGCATTAAGGTCTGTGATCTACACAGTCAACAGAGCTGAGACATGGGCCTGACACTTACAGAGATGGGGTCCCATACTTCCTAGCTTGTTCACTGATGCTATAGGGAGATCCTGAGAGATCTCGTTGGCAAACTTTTCAGCTGATGTAAGTAGAAGCCCAGAATTACTAAACCTCTAAGCTTTAAAAGCTTACCCTCTGCTGATTAAAGGGACAACCACCCTGAGAATCACTGTGGGCACAGGAGCAAGACATCAAGACAAAATGATTTTGACTTGAACCCAGATCAGGAGACATAAGGTTTACTTAATAGGGAGTACAGGCTTCACTGCAGAGGGCAGCGGAGGAGACTTCTAGCTGGGAACTGCATCTTTACCTCGGAGGAGTGAAACTGGCTCTGAGTGAATAGTGCCTCAGCTGCTGCTTGGGTAGTTGCCAGGGCCACATGCACACCTCTGGTATGAAAGAGCATCTCAAACGTGGTTCTTAGTGTCAGCTGCAGGAAAGAATGGAAGGGATTGCCAGGTTGCTGGGCCAACCCACTGACAGGCATGTAGGCCAGCATCGGTGATGGCAGCATGCCTGCCTGCAGGACTCAGTGCAGTGGACACAGCACACTGAGCAGACTTTTCAAGGGACTAGGTCTGAGGAAAATGGTCAGCAGGACTGGAAGGCGGTCTTTCTTGTTTGATCATGTGATTCTGTCTTCACTGCCATCCTGCTTCTGCTTCTGCTCTTCCTGTCTTTCTCTCCCTCCCCTTCATGCTCTTGCCTTTTTACCACTTTGTTTCGCTTTACTAGCTTTGTAATTCCGATTTATCCCATACACATCCTGGCTTTTTTCTATCCTTATTGTGAGTATAGTTGTTGTTTTCATTTTTTTCTTTTGTAATTAAATGTTTGTGGGTTTTTGTTGTTGTTACTGTGGCCTACCCCCCATTGCCATGGCTCTCGAGGACCTGGGAGAATGGAGCTAATTAACAAGGTGACTAAAGTCTCACACAAAGGCCAACTTCAGTCAGCTCCAGACACATGGGTAAAGGTCACATGGGTAAAGTTGGCGTTAGTTTAAGCTGTACACAATCATAAGGACGAGTCACATGTGGCAGAGAAAGAACCGTTTAATAACACCAGCAAGCAGTAATGAGTAATCTGAAGTAAACTCACTCCCATCCCGTCCTCTTGGGAGGAACATGAAAATACATTCCAAGAACAATTCCATGTTTGGAGAAACTGAGGTCACAACTCTTGTCTTGTTTTCTTTGGGTATTCTCACAAGAACTCAGATTTTCCCACAACTCCATTCCTGGACCATGTTCTAACACTTCATGTACTAGTGGGAACTGAGACTTGGGAGAAATCTGGCTTATTATGAAGACCCACAGAACTTACCTCTCTTCAGTAGACAGTTCCAAACATAATGAAGTGATTGGAATGCCAGACAATTTAAACCTGGTTTTTAGAGGATTTCTAAAGTCTATAGAAGAAAGGTACATCCAAGCAAGGAGGCACTTAGAATGGGCATTCAAGAAACTATCCATATGAAAATTTAGCTAAAATGTCAAATGTACAGGAAAAAAAATATAGAAAGCTCTAAGGATGGAGTATCAAGCTACTTCAAAGGCAGACTCATCAGAAATTCATCAAACTCCCAGCAAAAGGGAACAGACAAGATTATGTAATGATACATTTCTAGCTGAAAATAAATAGCTTCCAAAACTATTGCCATATCCAGCAAGACTTAGGTAGAAAAACAGGCCTTCCAAGATCAGCACAAGGCTGTTGAGCCCACACTAAAGAAGGTACATCAGCAATCCTGCACACAGAGAAGAAGATGAACCACAGCAGCATTGGTAAGAGTAAGTTACAGGAAAAACAGATGACCAATGAGAGTTACCAAACCTCCAAAACAAGGTGAATAAGTTAAGAAGTTAATCAGGAAAACAACAGGAATTAGCCATGTTCTCTCACTGATAACCCTCAATGTGAACTCTTGTAACTGTCTAATGGGATTATCAGATCAGCTGGTGGGGTTAAAATGATACCCAACTAGCTTCTATCATTTTAAAACATTTTAAATTGCATATATGTGTGTGTATGTTCATGTGAGTGCAGATGCCCAGTGAGGCTAGCGTTATTAGATCCCCCTAGAGGTGCTTGTGTGCCATCCAGTTTGGGTCCTGAGAACTCAACTCAGGTCCTCTACAAAAGCAGTATATTCTCTTAACAGCTGAGTCATCTTTTCAGTCCCAAACTATCTTTTATCTTTAAGAAACCCACTCAGCATGTGGAGGCTTTGAGTTCAAGGCTTCAAGGCCAGCCACAGTGAGTTCTAGCCTAGCCAGGGCTACATACACAGAGCTACCCTGTGATACCCTGTCTCAAAGAAATATAGACAGACAAATGGGGCATGGGGAGAAGAATCCTACATAGACCTGAAGTATGGGAAGTACTGTAAGCAAAGATAAGTCCAGATTCAACATGGGATAGATTTCAGCCTCCAGTCTCAACAGTAGATCAGTCACTCAGAGAAAATAACTAGGAGAGGAACTTAGTGACACTACATCATAAGATCAAAGCTTCTTAACAGATGTCTACAGAGTATTTCACTCAACACCTTCAGAATATACAACATTCTTATCAGCTGTGAAACTTTCTCTGAAAAGAATTCCTCCCATTCTAAGCCATTACATATGTCTAAACAAAATTTTTAAAAAGAATGTCTTATCAGGTCAAAATGTGATAAAATTAGAAATCAATAGCAGAATAAACTATAGAAAATAGGCAAACACCTGGAGATTGATAACATAACCCACTTTTGGCCAATCAGTGTGTCATTGAGGAAATTGGGGTATTTTAAAATTTCTTTAGACTCAACTAAAAAAGAAATCTCCTGCTGTAAACTTCAGAATATAACAAAGGCAGTTCTGAGAGGGAATTTGTAGCTATGAGGGCCTAAATTAAAAATAATATGGGGCTAGAAAGCTAGCTTAGTGTCAAAAGTGCTGGCAGCTCTTTCAGAGAACCAATGGTTATGATCCCGGCACCTATGTAAGGTCACTCTCAACTGCTTTTAAGTCCAGCTTCTGGGGATCTTATGACCTCTTCTGGTCTCATTGGGTACCCACACACATGTGTACATACATACACATAAATCTTTTTTAATGTGTGTAGGGAATCTCAGGTAAATAACTCGATGTATTTGAAGGTCTTAGCAAAACAGAACTAGCCCAAAAAAATTAAATAGAAGGAAGAAAAGATCAGTGTAGAGGGCTATAGAGATGGCTCAGAGGGTTAAGAGCACTGTCTGCTCTTTCAATAGGTCCTGAGTTCAATTCCCAACAACCACATGGTGGTTCACAGCCATCTATAATGAGATCTGGTGCCCTCTTCTGGCCTGCAGGCGCATATGCAGGCAGAAAGCTGTATGCTGTATACATAATAAATAATTTTTTTTTTTTTTTAAAAGATCAGTGTGGAAAAAAATGACATGGTGTCTAAAAGAGCAATACAAAAGGTCAAAGAAACAGAGTCAGTTCTTTTTTTGGGGGGAGGTAAATTGTAATTTTTTTTAATTGGAAAACAAATATACAACTTGGAATGGATTTGAGGCAAGTTGGGCCATAAGCAGATTTTCTTTAAGTGGCTAAACAAAGTTTAAAAAGCAAGTAACACCAAAAGAAAATGTTTCTGGTACAGTACCAGCAGTACCAAAAATAGTGTCCAAGTACCTGGATAAAACACCCGTTTTGCAGTAGTGCAACTTTTAAGTACATATTGTTGACTGTCCACAGTCCACGCAGAGTTACAACTCCACACTTCAACAACAACATGCTGACAGTTCCTAAAAGCTACTTTAAAAAGGCCTAACCCAGATGTTCCCTCATTTGACCAACTCCATCTAAGTTTAGATGTGCAGAAGGGCTTAGGTAGATCCAGAGTAAGCCACGTGCAACATGGTACTTGATCAAGTTTCTAAAATCAGGTTTAAGGACAATGACAGTAAGATAAGGGAAGAAGACATGGAGGAATGAAGTCCTAATTAATAAACATGCATATTTTTTTACAGTAGGGGGAAACCTTTTACAGATAAGTTGCAAACAAAGAAAAGGCAAATAAACAATTTTGTACAAGAAATTTAACACATTCTGTACAGTGTCTTCACTTCGCTGCTGTCATCATTTGTGCAAGCTCAGGTAGTTTACCTGACCGTCCCCATCAGTGTCTGCTTCCCTGATCATTTCATCAGCCTCTTCATCTGTTAACTTCTCTCCGAGGTTTGTCATCACGTGACGAAGCTCTGCTGCACTAATATAGCCATTGCCATCCTTATCAAACACACGGAATGCTTCTCTAATTTCTTCTTCACTGTCTATGTCTTTCATTTTTCTTGCCATCATTGTCAGAAATTCAGGGAAGTCAACTGTGCCATTACCATCCGCATCTACTTCAAGTCCTGCAGCTCTGCCTCTGTGGGATTCTGCCCCAGAGCCCTCATCACTGTCCCCAGCTCCTTTGTTGTTATTGTCCCATCCCTGTCCTTGTCAAATAGTGAGAAAGCTTCTTTGAACTCTGCAATCTGCTCTTCAGTCAGTTGGTCAGCCATGCTACAAGGGCTACGTGTTTCCAAGGCGCGACCAGAGAACCATTCAACTCGCTCCCCTCGGACCTGAGTCAGTTCTTTTATAAGTCAAATAAGTTGACATTTATCCAAGCTAACAATGAGAAGATGATGGAATTTTGTTAGATACAAAGTGGTAATGTAACCACTAAAATCCAGAGAATTACTATGAATTACTTTGAAAACTTAACTTCTAGTAAATTGGAAAAGCTAGTAGTCAGTACATTTCTAGACATCTATGACCTATCACAATTGAACTGAGATGATACTAAGAACATAAACATCAGTAATGAAACATCTCCCAACAGAGAAAAGCCCAGGACTGTACAGACCCACTCCTGAATTCTACCAGATGCTTAAACAACTAACACTTATCATCCTTAAGCTCCCCCTAAGTACAAAGGGAAGGAATGCTTCTAACTTCATCCTTCTAAGATAATATGGTACCCAAGCCAGGTAAGAATACAATAGAAATAACTGGCTGGGTGTGGTGGTACATACTTATAATCTCAGAATTCGGGAATTTGGGTGGCTGAGGCATGAGGAAGATGAATTATAAGCAGCCTAGGCTGCAAAGTGAATTCTAGGAAGTCTGAGCTAAATATCAAAATTATAATTAAAACAAAACAAAACAAACCCAAACAAAAACCCCCAGACAAGCAAGAGATGAGCATAAAGATGGCCGAGTTGGTAAAGCACTTGTCAGGAAGGCCTGACCAACTCAGAATGGCTCCCAGGCCTCCAAGTGGAAGACAAGTGTCTCCCAAAAGTCCTTTGGCTTCTCCATAAGCGCCATCATATCCAGTGCCCATGTGCAGGCATGCACACAAATGATACACTATTAAAACCCCCAAAAGACAACAATAAGCAACAAAAGAAAACAACCCAATCTCCTTGCTTAGCTTAGCTGTAGAAATACTCAACAAAATGCTTCTAAGGCAAATTCTTCAGTATAATAAAATCATATAGCACAAGCAGTATGGTCTCAGTTCAGATATAAAAAGTGGTTCAGCATGCATCAGTAAACCTAACACAGAGCATACATATATTGACTCAAGGACAAATACCATGTGGTTGTTTCATGTGATTGTTAGATGCAGGAAATCTTTGACAAAATTCAGTATTCCTATATGATAAAAGCCCCAAAGAAACTTAAATAGAAGACTCATACATTTCTGATACAGGCTGTATGTGGAAGGCCTAGAACCAGCATACTACTTGAAATGATAAAAACTGAATACATTGCTTTTAAAATCAGTAGGTCTGCCATACCAGATAAAACTGTTAAAGTGCAGAAACATATTACCCTAGTTTTTTTTTTGTTTTGTTTTTTGTTTTCCCTAACTTTATTTATAAAGAACACAACTTTAACACAGACAAAAATTCCAACACACTCCAGAGTCCATTAACAACAACAACAACAAGCCCCAGTTAATGCCTGTCTGTAGCCCACACTGAGGAGTCGCTGGGAATGATGCCTTGGAAAGAATATCTCACTTAAAACACAGGAAACAACTTGTGATCTGGAGGACACAAAAACTCCCCCACTGCAGAAAGTGACACTTTTAGTCTTCAGTATCGTCAAACTGTCCTGTTTCGAAGACCATCTTCGAGTAATGTGGTATCAGTGGAGGCGGGTGGTGCCAACTGGGGTCATATATCATATCTCCTTGTGGTGCACAGCACACCCAAGGCTTAATCTCCTGGGAAATGCTCCCCTGGATGTCGTCAGCATCGTAAGGATTCCCTTGATCCGCTTTCAGCTCCAAGTCCCAGTCCTCATTAAAAAGCTCGGCAGCCTGTTCCATGGGCAGGGAGGGTGGAACCTCTGCCGGCTCCCAGGCATACAGGTCCCCGTCAGCCTCCTTCTCCACTGCAAAGTCTTCTTCCTCAGAACCTGGGCCCTCAGCATGGGTAGGAATGTCAGCAGGGATGCTCTGAGCTCCACTGGACTAGATGCTTTCCACGGTCTCGAGCTGTTCCTCCCAGTGAGATGGGGCCGTCTGGGTCCATGGGCATCAAGTACCACCTAGAAGCTAGTCGATCCTAGGCCAGCGCAGTCTCCGTCTCCCGACCAGAGAGGTCAGCTGTGGCAAAGCCAGCCTCCACGCTGGGGGCCTCCCGTGCACTCGGCTCGCCCGGCCCAGGACCGGTGGCTGCCTGAGGGTCCATGCCCCGCCGCCCACATTACCCTAGTTTTAGAGGTAGGAAATACGTGATTAAGTTATCAGAAGGTTGCTTGCTTGTGAGGGCTGCTGTTACAGTTTACTTTCTGTTGTTACGATAAATTCCATGAACAAAAACAATTTGAAGAAGAAAGGGTTTATTTGGATTACATTTCCCATCACAAGCCATGTTTGAAGGAAGTCAGGACAGGTACTCGAGGAAGGAGCTTGAAGCAGGAACCCTGCTTACAATCAGGCTTGCTCACTATCTCTTTAACAGCACAGACTCATGTACCTAGGTAATGGTGCTACCCACAGTGGGCTTCACAGCCATAGACACAGGTCAGTCTGACCAAGGTAACTCTTCACTTGAAATTCCCTTTTCCTGGATGAGTCTAAGTTGTGTCAAGTTGACAGTAAAAACTAGGCAGCACAGCTAAGAAGAAGAATGAATCTTCATGCTTCTCTGGCATTTGGATTTTTGATCGTCTTTGCCTGTATACTCTTACATAATCCTTTGTGGTACTGTGTTCTGCCTCTGCCTGAGGTACTTTGGTGCCACAGGCATACCAGCTTGGAGAAGGCTGGGCATAGTCAATACTGGGCAAAGTCTGGAAAGGAGAGATCACAACCTGTGTTTCTCCTTGGGGCATCAGATGCCACCAGAATGGGAAAGGGGGGGGGGTCAGAGATAAATGCTGTAGTTCCAGGTCTTCTCTTTGGGTACCCAGACACCTCCAGTGTACCGCCTGGAAGTCAGGAGCTTGGGTCCATCTGAGATCCACATTTCCCCTCAGGGTGTGTACACTCCAGGCTAGAAGGGGAAAGCAGGGTCTGAGATGAGCAAGATCTGGTCCATTTGGGAGCAAGTACCGGAGGGGTAGGAGAAGAGAAAAGCCTCCTTCTGAAGTCTTGGGTGTGGCTCTTTTAGGCAAAGGCCTTCTACATCTTCAGTGAAGCAGCTCTCTGAGACAATCCTTGCTTGATTATATTGCTTTATTGGAGGGAGAATGTGAACGCATATACACTTTATTCAGGTGAACTAGAATTATATACCTCTTGGAGGAAGGGCGTGATTATATCCAGGAAGGGAAGGTCATTGGCTGAAGGCTAAGGCTATCTAGATACCTCATCGGGGTGTCACTGTTACGTGCTCCAGAGCAGATACAGAGACAGGCAGGGAGCGGCTTCACTCCTGCCTTTCTCAAACCTCTGAGATTCCCTGGGGTTTGAGCTCACTCAGCCTCACCAGTTCTTACGCCCATCTAATAGCACAGCCCACTTGCCCTGCTTTTTAAAAGATTTATTTAGTTACGTTTATTTGTGTGCCTGCAGAAATCTGAAGTGAGCATTTGATTCCATGGGGCAGTATTACACATAGTTGTGGGCTACCTGACATCTGTGCTGGGAACTGAAGTTCTCTGCAGTATGGGCTCCTAACCACTGAGCCATCTCTCCAGCCCCAGAATTTCCTATTTAATAGGCATGAGGTACTGGATTAGGGTTGACTCCCAAAGACCTCACTTTATTTTAACTTTATAAAGTCCTTAAGTCCAATATTCTAAGTTCAGGAGGCTATGACTCCAACACATGTTTTTTGAGGAGAACACAATTCCCATAGTGTGTATATGCATGAGATATGTTGGGTTGTAATTGAGATCAGTGGGAAGAGCATGTATGAGGAGGCCCTGGGTTTGCTCAGTGGTTGAGGAGAGGAAATTGCTGTTTCCAAACATCTTTTTAAAATTATTTCCTATTTTTAGCCCATCATACCTTTTGCAGTTGAACATGGAGCATATTGAAGTGTTTCTGCAAAGGTAAGATCATTTAGATGAAATCTCAGGATTAAGTTGTAACATCCAACAGTCACTGGGAGGAGAGTGGGGGTAGAGGAGGATCAGGGTTCATATCATTTAATTAATTAATTTTGAAAAAGTCTTGGGATGAGCTCTAGTTAGTGTCTAATGCTAAATCCTCTTGCTTGAGCCTTTCAAGTACTAGTGTTACAGGTGTGCACCAGTCAGTCCAGATAATGATATAGCTTTACAAGACCTTATATTTCAATTTTTTATGAAACGATAGTGATAACTTTTAATGTTTTCTTTCAGAACAGAACAGTCTATTTACTCCAAAGGATTGGTAAGGTTTGTTTGCTATCATTGTACATTTGTGTGTGTGTGTGTATGTGTCTATGGGGGTGTGTGTGTATGCACACATGTATACACTTGTAGAGGTCAGAGAACAACCTGCAGAACCAGTTTTCTCAATTCTGTGGGTTCTGGGATCTCAGGTCATCAGGCTTGGGGTAAGCCCCTTTCTCTGTTAAGCCATCTCACCAGCCTGTTTGCTAGCATTATAAATTATAAAAATAACAAATATAACTATCAGCTGCACCTTATGTGCATGTATGTACATGTATATTCATGTATGCTCATCTGCAGGAACTTCTGGAGACTAGCTTATTGAGATTAGAAGACAACAGCCTCTGTTATCAGTATTTAGAAATCAAGAGTTTTCTTGCTGTGCCTCAGGTAAGCAGAATATGTAGTCAAATATTGCAACAGCTTCTTGTCTGTTCTGAACTCCGCTAAGGTAATGTGTGCTGCAACTTCTTTCCTTCTCTTCTCCACCTCTGTAAGTGCTACTGTGACTTCCAACTGAACCTGCAACTCAATGTTTGTGCAGATGGAAATGGTCTGCTTTCTGTGCTGCCATGACAAAACCAGACTACCTGCTATGTAGTTAGTGAGACAATGGAACTGAAGTTTAAATTCTATTTTGATTAATTTCCCCAACTCCTAGGATTAATATATATTTAAATAGCTATTTTCTATCATCCAGGTTGATGGCACTATGGAGGGCCCTTAGGAGCAAAGCCACTTGACCTCTGACTAACTAACGCTCTCAGGTGTATCCACTCACGCTGTTAAAGGCCTGAAGCTCTTTGTTCACTATGCAGGCCTTAGCTGTCAAGTTTAATATTTAAGTAGAAAGGTGAGGCTTTTGCTGCTACATTAAGCTTGATTATATTTAATTAATGCATTCTATTTATGCATATTTGAGTTTTCTTGCTCTTCTACAAATAATTGAAAATTCCCGTTCACTTTACAATCACACTTATTCACATCTCATTTTGTGCTGTGTATAAAGCTAACTGTAGTCACTTTGCCCTGTACTAGTGACAGGCAGAAGAGCAGGTCTCCTTAGGTCACTCAACCCCTTTCGGTAGCACCTTGTGGTAATTGAACTTTGCAGACAGAATCTATTTACATCTGGATTTAAAATGTTTTTTTCTTTATTTCTAGGGCTTAGTCAAAGTTATGACACTTTGCCCCATTGAGACATTGGTATGTATGATTTGGGGCTAAATCATGAGTTACAGCAAGAAATTTTAATAAATAATTTACTTTTCAATGTTTTATGTAAAAGAATTATTTCTTTTCAGAGGAAAAAAGGTTTAGCTATGCTTCAGCTGTATATTGACAAGTTGGATTCGCAAGGCAAATATACATTATTTAGGTATGTACCAAGCTGATAAGCAAGGCACTTTTCATTGCTCTGATAAAATAGTTGAGAAAACAACTGATGGAGGAAGTTTATTTGGGCTTGGTGTTTCAGAGGTGCAGTCTATGGCCTGCCGGCTCCTGTACTGTGAGCTTGGAGAAGGCAGTGGGACAGAGCTGTTCACCTCGAGGGAAGGGTCAAGGACGAGACACACCCTCTGAGGCATGCCCCTGAGACCTACTTGCTGCACTAAACTCTACTGCCTCGTTGCCATCTCTCAAGGATGCCATTATAATATGACTCAATCAAGGGGTCATATTATTGGTCCGTTTGAACCCTCAGGATTTAATCAATCACTTCAAGAAGTCTGTCAGCTGCACCCAGTCTTTAACACATGAGCTTTTAGGACACATTTCAAAACATAGCCCATGGCTAATTACTAGGTTTGTGGCTGATCAAAACCTGTTAATGCTAGGTAATCATTTAAAGGTACAGCAAATGCCTTTTTGGTTTACAGACACTGAACAGTACAGTACTGTTCAGTGTCTGTAAACCAAAGAATCAGCTTTTCAAATATTATGTATCAGTGTGTAAATTTTAGTTTGGTTGAAACACTGTAAACTTACACAGTCTGGAAGGAGTGACTGAGGTTGATAATGCTCCTGCTAGAGCTGCCAGAGCCTTGCAGAATCCAGTAATCTCCAGTATTTATAATGACACTGAGGCACCACAGAGGACAGCTGTAACCTGACAGGTTTGTCATTTCACGTTACTCTTATTTCCTTGTAGTAGAATTTCTAAGCAACAAGTTAAAGACTAGAAAACTTTAGCTTAATAATAAATAAAGACTTTATAAGGCTGTATACAGAGTTTGTGTGGAAACTCTACTGTCCTAATATTAGGAGATAGTTGTGTTCTAATAACACCAACATAACTACATGCTAAATTTAGCCTACAGTTCTTAGCCTGTTTTACTCTGCTGTAGATACTAAGAATGAGTGATGACCTGACTTAAGCAATAGTGAAATGCTGAACTGTCATCTTTGAGTGTGGCCAGTACTAGCATCCTTGAGGCTATCTTTTTCCTCAGTTCTGAAGAAAATAGAGTCAGACCCAGCTTATACAGTCTTAGCCCTTAGGTCTTATACCAGAGTCAGACCTAGCTTACGCAGTCTTAGCCCTTAGATTTTATACCAAGTTTCTTATTTTGTTCTACTTGTACTCTACCAAGAGATCCCTGTTTTCTTTCTTGGTGGCTTTTGACTCATGGCTTAGGTCTGTGCAGTTGGTTCTGTTGCAGAACATCATGGTAGTGTGAAGGTAGCAGAAAGGCTGCCTCAGTTCATGCAGGCCAGGAACACAGGCATGGGTCAGGGAAAGGGTTAATATCCCAATACCTTCTTCAAGCACATGTCTCAAGTGACCTAGCTCAGGGTTAGGGATAGGGTTAGGGAGGCCATGATGCCCCATTTTCTAAGGTGCTACCATGAGCTAAGAACCAGGATTTCAGCCTTTAGGGGACACTGAAAAGCTAAGCTATTAACAGTTATCAGGTTTCATTAAGCAAGTAAGCCAGCATTAGTCTTCTTCACAGGGAACATAAAAAAGATTTGAATTTGGTTTAATAGAAATGTTTTGTTGGCGAGTTAAGGAGACAGCTCAGTGAGTAGGAACACCTTCACAAGCATGGGACCTGTGTTCAGATCTCTAGAATCAACGTGAAGAACTGGGCACAATTACATACACTTGTAGCCCTGGCTAGAGGGACAGGAAACGAGGATTTTGGGGGCTCACTGTGCCAGCCTAGGTCGGGTTCAGTGAGAGACCATCTCAAAACAATAAGGAGACTGATAGAACAGGACACCCACTGCTCTCTGGCCTCTATTGAACACACATGCACACACTGAAAAAAAAAGTTCTTAAAAAGACCCAGTTGTACATAAAATTTACCAGTTAGTAAAAGCAAACCCTGTTAAGATGACCTTATAATTGTCTGGCCACATTGATAATTGTCTTTGCTGTGATCTTTATATTCCTAAAAGTTATATAAAGCCCAATTGAATTGTTTAATCATTTGTGTTATAATTATGTTTTCAAGGTGCTTACTAAATACAAGTAATCACTCAGGTGTGGAAGCCTTTGTAATTCAAAATATCAAAAATCAGATTGATTTATCATTTAAGGTAAGAGCACAGACAAGGTAATGGTCATTTACCAATTTATTTGTTCACATGTGGCATTTATCAGTATGGTTTACTCACAGTATTTTTATGTCTATAATATTAAAAGTATAATTGTCTATTTAAAAAATAAACATGACCCCCACACCGCTGTTAACTATAAACTTAAACTGCATTCTTTATCTAGACTAATAATATGGCTTTTATTGTGTTACATATGTCAGAAATAAAAATTTGAGTTGCATCTGTATTTGAATATGCATAACCCCATATAGAAAAAGATCACCAGTGTTCTCACACTGGCAGGACTTTCACACGTGTCTGGAAAGGGAATAGACACATGGAAAAGAAAGTTAAAATGTTTGGTAAAAGTCTAATAGTCTTTGTACTGTTGGGTAATTGTAGTATATACGATTTATCATACTGTCACATAAACTTTCTTTTGCTTTTCAGAAAACACATAACAAATGGTTTGCAGGAGCACAGCTGATCTCTCTGTTAGACCTGGTCCTGTCTCTCCCTGAGGGCGCTGAGACAGATTTACTGCAGAACTCAGACAGGTGAGGTGACCACCACTCAGTTCTAATAGTCAACTGCTTAAACTAAGAAATACAGTTTCCTGTGATTTTTATGATCTGTAATTAGTTCATAAAAGTATGTAAAGTTTCCTATTTAAGTTACTCAGTGACTTACACAGAAACAAAACCTCTTCTTTCAAGCACAGTGAGGTTCTCAGCATTACACAGGGACTTGAAACCACACATTTGTGACTAAGGATCTCACAAAAACAGTTCATAAAGGACTTTGGAATGTGGGCTTTGTTTTTCAGGCCATATAGAATGTATACTTTTACTTTTAGTGTATTAGAATAGATGTGAAGAAGTGCTTGTATTTATAAAAAAAATCTTGAAACCTGGGAAGAAGACGTGGTGGACTTGAGGACAAGGAAAAAGTGCTCACCCTGTATTTGTGAACTTACATCAGAACAGTGATAAGCTGTTGCCAGTCCACAGATGGGCGTGAACAGTTTCTAATGGCAAATGTGTAAACAATGGTATTTCCAAGGTTTCAACTTGCTTTATAACATATTGCAGTTGTTGATTACATAAATTTATACTGCAAATAACAAATAATTTTTTTAATTAACAGGATTATGGCTTCATTAAATTTATTGAGGTATTTGGTTATCAAAGATAATGAAGATGACAATCAAGTAAGTGAATGACTTGGAAAAGAACCTGTGAGTATATTCAGAATGGGAAGTAGTGTCTGAGCTTTTCTTGAGTATTATCCTAAAGCCACATTCATTATCTTTATTGAGCACCTGGTCTGACATGTGCCCAGTTCCCAGGCACCCCTTGCTTTTCACATTTCATCTGTCCTGTGTGCTGCTGCTCTTTTGTAGCAAGTCTTACTAAGCCCTGTTGGTAGGCAAGTTGCAGGTTTTGTGTTAATTAACCTCCTGGAGCTCCACAAACACATAAACATTTTACTCATCTTTCTCTGCTTGTGTATGGTTCTGGACTTGAACTATACAAAATAAAATGATCTGATATCACTTCATCAGACATGACAAACGGCAGCATGTTTAGCCCTAAAACTGAGTCTGTTAATTGTACTTTTGAATGGTATGTAGGAAGTTGGATATTATTAATAGCACTTCATTAGAAGTATTCAATAAATAGGAAGCTGTCTGATGGAAATTTGTCCTACAGTAAAATCACATTGACCAAGCCCCTTTCCACCTCCTCTGTTCTAATAACCGCTCTCTTATTACCTATAACCACATGGATCATGTTGTTAAAATGGCCTTAAAAAAAAAAAAGCAATAGGAAGAATGAAAATAATTACATTCCACGTAAAAGTACCAAAGCAATCTTTTATACTCAGACAAGTCACCGCTTAGGCTGAGGAGTCCGTGAGGAGCAGCAGTGCCTTCAGCGTAGGCTGAGGAGTCCGTGAGGAGCAGCAGTGCCTTCAGCGTAGGCTGAGGAGTCCGTGAGGAGCAGCAGTGCCTTCAGCGTAGGCTGAGGAGTCCGTGAAGAGCAGCAGTGCCTTCAGCAGGTTCCGTAGACTCAGTGGCTTGACCCCTCACGTCTCCTCACCCAGAAATACTCGATTGCTGTGACTCATTCCGACTATACAAGATGATTATTTTTTGATACTTTATTGTGAAAAAATTAAAATGTCCTGCAAAGGTAGAAGAACTCTACAGCAGCCCTCCGTTGCCAGCACCTGCCCAACCCGCTCCTGGGTATCCAGCTCCCCTTCTACCCAGTTTTGCTCTATTTTTGGCGCATTTCAAAGTTACCTGTAGACATCAGCATATTTTCTCCCAAACATTTTAGCATATATATCATTAGGCAGAGTTAAATCTCTGTCAGCAGTTTTTCTGTGAAGTAAAATTTACATAAATGATATGTACAGACTTGCAGTGTGTAGTCATGAGTTTTGATTTGGCTTGGTTTGGTTTTTCTTTTTTTCTTTTTTGGTTTTTCGAAACAGGGTTTCTCTGTGTAGCCCTGGCTGTCCTGGAACTCACTCTGTAGACCAGGCTAGCCTCGAACTCTCGAACTCAGAAATCCGCCTGCCTCTGCCTCCCAAGTGCTGGGATTAAAGGCGTGTGCCACCATTGTCCGGCTTGGTTTGGTTTTTCAAACACAGATGTATAGATCTTTTCATCCTGTACCATCATCACTGAAGTCCTTCTCACTTGTCTACCCATCCCTGATGGCGGTGGCCGCTGTCCTGCCAGGTGCCGCAGGTCGTTCTTCACAGTTCTCAGAGAAAAGTACTCTTTGTTCCTTTCTCGTTAACCGTTCTCTTATAAGAAGGATCAATAATTCATTCAAGGGTAGAAGTCTAGGCAGTAGAACTTTTGGAGTTAAACTCTGATTCATAAAGGGACTTATGGTAAAACCAGAAGAGATACAGTGTGTGTTGAGTAGCGCTGGGCCCTGGGCCTCTGGCAGGCGTTCTTAGGGAGGGAGGAGCATAACCGTGCAGTACTCAGGAAGGCTGAGCACGCACAGGAGCTGATGGGATCTGCTTGATACCAAGCAGCCTCGCTGATTAGCAGAGATTGATGTGCTTGCTGCAGTGCACACCTAACCCAGGGCTGAGGTCTGCAGGAGGAGGCAAGGCCTCAACTGTACCTCAGCAAGGACGCTCTACAATGACAGCACGGAAACGCCTCACTTACGAGGCTGCCAGAGTTAATGTTCATTCCCAAGAGGAAGTTTGTTGCTGTATGCCACCATAAGAACTACCATACTGGGGAGACGATCAGTAGATGCCCTCGTCTTCTTATGCTTTTAACAAACAGCCTGTCTGTAATGGGAACATTCCTTCTAAGAACAGTTCTAACAAGGAAAGGCAAACTTAGCCACCGTGATTAACAAAAAAACCGTCTGCTACCCTCCAGGAGTGATTGCCCTGTCTGGTGGCACTTACAGAGCTGAGGAAGGGCCACAAGTTCTCAGTCAGCCTCAAGTGGGCAGCAGGACCCTGAACACAAACACATGTGGCTTCTGGCTTGTTTTACAAGTCACAAAGTGACGCTGGTATTCTGGCATTTCCCTCGGAGGAGCCCCTCCCAGTTCCTGTTTGTGCCCATTTAGGTGTACTAAGATGAAAACTGAAAGTCAGAAAGGTACCAGGGAGTGTCAGAAAGCCGTTCCAATATGAAGACAGCAGGCACACTCATAGTGAGGACGAGATCACTTTCCGGAGTCTTCCGCCTTACTGTCCCCCTCCTAGCTCCCTGCATGTTTTCAGCACTTTCTCCTGAATTTCAGTTTCCTGTCAGTTTCAGAATCTTTAATGTTTCCCATCTCTAATATTTAGAAGTCACATTCTGTGTTGGGATTCTGTAGGTAGTTATTGTTTTGGATTGCAAGTTTATTCTAAACTGGAGCCCAGTTGTGCCATTTACCTTTGAAGAAGTCACTCAGATCCTTTCTAATGACTGTTTATTCAAAATTACAATGTGACAGGACCAGTAGCTCAGTGGCAGAATAGTTGCTTGTCGTGAGGCCATGGATTCAGTCCTCAGCACCACAAAGTGAAATGAAGTGAAGCACAAGGAGTCTGCAGAGCCACACGGCTGATGGTAGCAGCAGTGGTAAAAGTTCGGTGCTACCACTTAATAAATGATGCACGAGTTAGGCCAAAGAGCCGAGAAGGGGACACGGCCACGCCCTTCCCCATTGACTGTGCTTGACTACGGCTTTGCAAGACTTCTGCCTGAGGCTGCAGTGAATTTTTAGTGCATAGTTAAGACAGAACTCAGAAGTTGTCAGAATTGTGGAGTCAGTGACAGGTATGAGATGAGAGGCAGTCGTGAGGATTTCAAAAGCTCACTCCTTATAAACAGTGTAAATGTCTTTTTACTATTTTTAACATTAGAGATGAAAGAAATCTTAAACTTATTTCTTTTGTGCTTTAGAACGATCTGGTAACTTTCATGTAAGACAAAGAATGTATTTTTTTCCTCCATAGGATCTTTACTCCAACGTGCTTGTAAAAACAGTACAGTTCATGATAGAAAGACTGGAATTATGCTGAACAGCATGTGAAAGAAAACTTTAGTCTAATTTTGAAGGTTGTTTTTATTACTCAGTGTTTTAATGTTATGGACTACAAATTAAAATAAATTACTGCCCTGAGCAGGATGCCCTGGCTCGTGCTTACAATTATAGCCCTTGGGAGGTGAGGTTAGCAGAGAAAAGGAAACTGAAGTGTATATATAGTTAGACCTTTGTTGTTGTTTGTAAGTTCATGCATTATTATTATTACTGTTATCATTTTGTGTGTGTGTGTGTGTGTGTGTGAATGTGTGTGTATGTCTGTGTCCACCAGTGGAGGTTAGAGGACAACTTTCCTTTCAGGAATTGGTTCTCTCATCCTATCATGTGTTTCCTAGGATCAAACTCAAATTGTTAGAATTGGCAGTGACGGCCTTAACCCACTGAGCCTTCTTGCTGGCCTCTTGTCCATGTTGATCTGGAACTTGCTATATAGCCAACAATTATCACAAATTTTAGGATTATAAAACCCTTGTACTGGTTGAATAGGGAAAATAAAAAACAGGCCAGTTTGTGAATTCCATCTAGATTTGTCTTGTCTTGACTACAAGGATTTTCCATCTGTGGGAAGGTATGTACCCTCAGGAAGGCTTTGTTCAGTTCTGGAGGGCGCTTGAGAACAAAGGGGAAACTAGCATCTAGACTCCCACTCCCATCCCTGCTCCCCTTCTAGGGCAGCCCAGTGAGAAACAGCACTTACAACTCAGTACTTACTCTGATTTTTGTTTTCAAGAGTGGGTCTGTGTGCCTCTGGCCGTCCTGTAACTTGCCAACATCATATGTATATGTACACATATATATACATTTTTATATTAAGTGACATAGATATAAAAAGTGTTAACCACCTGGTTATGAGTTAATGGCTACTTCTTGAGTAAAGAAGACTTTAACCATAACTAATATTTTCTTTTGAATAAATATGGGAAGGTATTTGCTTTTGATAAAACTAAGTGTAGGTTAAAAAGTGTTCCCCTTGGGTTCAGTGGTTAAGAGCACTGGCTACGGGCTGAGTAGTTGGGTTAGGTAGTTGGGGCACATACCTTTAATCCCAGTACTCGGGAGACAGAGGCAAGCAGATCTCTGAGTTCAAGGCTAACCTAGTCTACAGGGTGAATTCTAGAATATCTAGGGCTGTTCTATGTACAGTGAAACTGTCTCAATAAAGATGACACAGACACAGACACACACACACAGTGCTACTCTTGTGGAAGACCTAGGTTTAATTCTTAGCACCCACTCATCTCAGGAGATCACATGCCCTCTTCTGGTCCCTCAGTGCACACATATGGTACACAAACATGTATGCAGTACATTTGGCTTCAACAATAACCGACTCAGCCCCGGAAGCAGCAGCTCTAGTGCTGCGTATAAGCTACGGGTAAAGGAAAGGGGGAAGTTTACTTAAGGGGGAAAGATATGGAGACAGGAGTTAGCCCAGAGGACTAGATGGAGAAGTGTGAACAGACATGAGACCATGGTTCGAGCACCATGCTGGTTCTCAGGCTTGTATGAATGAAAGCCCAAAAAGCACATAAAGAACAATGTCCTACACCAAGAGGAGATGAGCACCAGAGCTGAGGGTGGCTCAGTGGTCCCAAGCCAGAGAGCCTGAGCTGAGTGGAAGGAAGAGAATCAACATGGCACAGCTGTGCTCTGATCTCCACACAGGGCTGTGACCTGCACACGCCACACGCACACTGAACACCTGAGCAGGAAACATGGCTCAGCAGGCAGAGTAAGCCTGCATACAGACCTGATGACCTGAGCTCAGTCTCTGGACCCCACAAGGTATTGGGAAAAAGAACCAACTTCAGATTGTCCTTTTGACCTCCACATTTACACCACAGCATGGCACCTCTCCACATCCACACACACACGTCCACACACACAGACATCCACACACACACAGACATCCACACACACACACAAATTTACAAAATAAATGAATAAAAGCAGGGATCACACACCATCACCTCTTGTTGACATTATACTCTTCTGGGCACTTTGAGCATTTTTCTCTTTAAAAAAAAAAACAAGCCATGCTATATAAAATAGTTTCTTCCATACAACAGTATTTATTGAAGAAAAAAGTAATGGCTGTGTAGTTTTCCATTATGTGGATATGCCACTACTTAACATTTTCCTGTTATGAGACACATTCTTGCATTTTCTTTTATTAAATGTTGTTTTTAAAGACTTCTCTACAATGCAAGCATTACAAATTAATCTTTGTTTTTCCAGGATAAATCCATAGATGTTGTGTGGACTAGATAGGTATATTTTTGAAGTTTGAATTTGTATCTAGTCTCTCGTTAGACCTTTGCATTTCCCAGCAGTGTAAGAGAAATTGTTTAAAATATTTGTGTGCATGTGTGTGTACGCGTGTGTTTGTGTGTACACGTGTGTGTACGTAGTGTGTGTGTGTGTTTGTGTTGTGTGTTTGTGTGTTTATTAGCACATTTGTTTGACCAGATACTGAGTTTCACTGCTGTGCTTTCGTGGCTGCACACAGGACGCTTCTGTCATCCTGGACTCCTTATTCTGGTGCCTCCTCCCTCCTCATACTGGTTTTCTCCTCTCATTCAATAACTCTTCCACTTTGTCTTTTTCTTTAAAGTGTGGATTCTGCATGACAGACAATAATGAGTCATTTGTCTGAGTGTCTTACTTCATGTCAGATTAGCTCTTTTTTCTGAAATGGAACGTTCATTCTTTACGGCAGAATACTACTCTTTTGTATATACATACCACATTTTCTTTCCCTGTCCTGTTTGCAGACACCTAAGCTGGCTCTGTAACTTGGGTATTGTGGCTAGTGCACAGCATATCTAGGTGTGTGGAATCACTAACTTTGAGTGATGTTCTACTTCTAGTTTTGAGTTCTAGAAATTGATAACCAATTTCTATAGTGATGGACAAATTCCTACCAACAATGTATGGGTGCTACAAAGATTTCAGGGGAAATATGTGTGGAGGCATTGCTATTGTTATATTGATCTAGCTTTCATCCACACAATTCCTATACCTCATTCTAGAGCAAGTGCCTTTTGTTTTAAAGTTTTCCATCAGTATTCTAGAATGTGACCCATGGCAAGCACATCTAAGTCCCGTGATGCGGCCACTTAAGCATTTAAAGTAGCCTTGAGGAGATGATGAAAAACTATAGGGTGTTACCAGTTAATTCTCTCACAGATCTCAAAACCAGGAGATACTCTAGTGGAGCAGTGTGCTGTGTATGTGCGTGTAGTGTGTGTGTGTGGTGGGTACTGATAACACACACCTCTGTGTGGTGGGTACCGCTGACTGACACACAGCTGTGTGTGGTGGGTGCCGCTGACTGACACACACTTGTATGTGTGTGGTGGGTACCACTGACTGACACACACTTGTGTGTGTATGTGGTGGGGGCCACTGACACACACTTGTGTGTGTGGTAGTGGCTACTGACTGATACATCACAACTCAATTCGGAGCAGCACCGTGTCTGTCATAGTCGTTGTTTCTCACAGTTGGTGGATGTTTGTTAACAAGACATCCTGTATCTGCTGAACCAAGTAACTAATTTGTTCATTAAATCTTTGAACAGACTGGATTATGGACAGAACTTGGAAAAATTGAAAATAACTTTCTAAAGCCACTTCATATAGGACTTAATATGTCAAAAGCACATTATGAAGCAGAAATTAAAAACAGCCAACAAAATAGCCAAGGTTGGTAATATGCAATTTTATTTGCCATTAGGTCTAACCGTTCAAATTCTGGAATGAGCATATTTTTTAAATATTTATTTTATGTGTGTATATTTATGTGTACTCTATGTGTGCATGAGCCTGTGGAGGTCAGAAGAAGTTGCTCGATCACTTGGAACAGGAGTTCCAAGTGCTTTCGGACCTCCATGTGGATGCTGGGACACACCCAGGCTCTCTACTAGAGCAGTAAGTGCTCTCAGCCACTGAGACGTCTCTCTAGCCCCACACATCACATTTTTGTACACGTTCACTTTATGCAAAAATGCGGAGCCATAAAAGCAGTATTTGTGTAATTAAAATGATTCTTAGCCAATACTGAAACTGGGTCAATGAATACTTAAACCAAATTGAAACGCCGTGGTTTAAAGCCTCAGGTTCTGACTATGAGTGGGTATATCACAAACATTCTCCTCAGGCCCCACTGTACTTTTTTTTTTTTTTTTTTAATCAGATGGTCCACCCCTCATTGTCCCATAGTAAATTTGTATAAATTGTAAAAAAGAAATCTAGATTCAGAATTATTTCTTTAAAGCTGGCAATTCTGCTATAGTAATTTTACAATCCTTGTATAGGCAATTTGAGTATACTAAAGAAAAAAGTTTTACATGTCCTACACATGCCAGAATAAAGTGATTTCTCTAAAGATTCAGTTCACATATTGCATAATTCTAGTGCTTAATTTTATTTGTTTATAACAAGGTGTTACCTCATTGACACATTTTACAATTAGTAACAATTAAAGTAGCTTATCAATGTACTGTTGGAGTCTGAGGGGTAACAAGATGGTCCAGTGGGTAAAGATGCTTGCCATCAGTCATGCTCAAGACCTGAGTTGAATCCCTCGGCCCCCTACACATGCACCATGCCACACATATACACACAAAATAAATACATGTAATACAATTTGAGAGTTGGGGCTGGGAGTCAGCTCAGCAGTAAAGCATTGGCCTGTGTTCCAGACCCCCTGGGTTTGATTCCCAGTACTACAAACACTTGCACACACAGTGCTGAAACCCTCAAACTGTTGTAATGGCTAAGTGTGAGGTGTTTTCTTTCTTCCCTACAGTAGCCTCGATGTGTAAAGGTGTTTGTTCCGTGACGGTAGGTGGAGAGGAAATCCCTACAATGCCTCCTGAAATGCAGCTGAAGGTAACCCCCGACTTTAAGCTATCTCCAGCCTAGTCTCTTGTGTGCTTTGTTTTGGAGGCAGCATTAATAACACAAATGTCTGTTGGGTGTGGGACATGGGCCTGGAACCCCAGCAGTGGGGAAGTCTGATGCAGGAGGATTGTGAGCTAGAGGCCAGTCTGGGTTATTTGATAACAGCAGTGCTGCTCTTGACTTTTCAGGTCTTACATTCCGCTGTCTTCACATTTGACTTGATTGAGAGTGTTCTGGCTCGAGTAGAAGAACTCATTGAAATCAAATCAAAGTCTACCTCTGAAGAAAATGCTGGGATAAAGTAAAAGTTCTGTTTCATAAATAAAAACCAATAAAATGCTGTTTTTCATTATACTTTATACCGCCTTAAAAATACTTGCAGAAATTTTACTACTAGAAAAATTGCATAATTGTTTTTAATAATCCAGTGTTTTTGGGGGGTGGGGGGCTTGACAGTTTCTGATAAATATCAGTAGTAAATAGTCTTTGCTTCTAAAAGCCTGAGAGATCACTCAGTGGTTAAGGCACTTCCTGCTCTTCCAGAGGACCTGGATGGTCCAGTTCTCAGCACCCACATGGAGGTTCCAACTGTAACTCAGATGCAGAGGAGGTGACACCCTCTTCTGGCCTCCGTGACACCTGGTGCCCATGTGGGATATATATACAGGCATGGTGGCATATGCCTTTAATCCCAACAGACGCAGAGAGTTCAAGGTCAGCCTAATGTACAAAGTGAGCGTAAGGACAGCCAGGGTTGTTTCACATTTAGAAAAAACCAAAACTGTCTCAAAAAACAAACCAAAACCAAAACCAAATCTCAACACATGTCTCCAGAAACAGTTATATATGAAAATGCCCTCAGAGATTAATCTTGGAAAACCCCAAAGTGTACATGGCTCTTTCTTTAGTCCAACTAATAATTCTGCACTATCATTTCCTGTTGTATTTGTGCATCCAACTTGGTATCATTAAGGAACTGGATTTTATTTATGTATCAGTCTTTTTTTTTTTCCCTGTAGTGTTTAAAAGGTCCTATATATGCTAGGGTAGCACTGTGTCATGCAGCTACACTCCTAAACATTAAAGGAATTACTCAACCAAATTCCCCAAATAAAAAGTATTTAATTGTGTACATATTATTTTAAATATATATGCCCTTAAATTTACATTTGGACATTACAAGTTAATGAGTTAAATTATTTTGATATTCCTCCAAAAGGACCCTTGTGGTCAGTCTTGTGAGTCTGGACTGACTGAGTCCGTACTCAGCTTTATCTTCTGAAGTGTCCTCCAGACAGGGCTCTGCTCTATGATGTAAGCTTTAGTTGTTATCATTCTGTAGCAGATGCTGTCTATGTGTGGTCTGGAGGTAGTCTGAAAAAAGATGTAAACATATAGCATTATATATAGAAAGAGTATTTATTTTGTTGGATTATATATTACAAAATAAATTCTGATGGAGAGATGGCACACACCTTTGATCCCAGCACTAACGTGTCAGGGGCAGGTGGATGTCTATGAGTTTGACCGAAGCCAGTATTGTCTACATGGAGAGTTTTAGGACACCCAGAGCTACAGAATGAAATCTTGCCTCAAATGATAATTCAGCAAACATCTCTTGACATGGATGTGCCAAAACCTCGTGTGTGACTTAGAGTGATGGAATACCTGAACTGCCGTCAAGGAATCTCAGACTGTAACTCCCTAAAATGCAGTATTAGAAATGCTTTAGGATTTCCAAGGGCAAAAACTAGGAAGGGAAGTTGATGTATTTATGGGCACTTCCAAGAAAAAAACCACCTGAGAAGAAACTGAACTGGTGGAAAACAGCTCATAAGGTTACCAGGAGTAAATTGAGAGTGGAAGGCAGACATCTTGACAATCCTCAAGAGGGTATACAACCTGAAGACATATTTTACAACAAAAACCCTTAATAAGGATGTCTTAAAAAGTCATAAGGAGTCTACCTTAAAATACCTATTCTGCACATAAGTTGGTATATAAATACCTAATTTAAATGAAGTTTTCCATTGGGGCTGACAATCACTGAAAAGCCAGAGACCATCTAACATACTCCAACACTAGGCATGATGAGAAACCCTCCTTTGAATTGTTGGTCAGAGTTGTCCAAGAGACTCCCAAAACAGTAGAAGCTATTGCTGTTGCTCTTGGTTGCCCACAGGTGGAGGGTAAGTTCCTATTGCTGAAGACACTGCGCTTCAGACACATGGCCCAGAGCTGAAGACTACATTTATGACCCCAAAAGGGGTCATGCAAGCTTCCAAATGAGGGAAGCAACTAACAATCCTACCCAGTATGATGTCTTGGAACCACAACAATGAACAGCGTGGCATGACAACTGTAAGGGTGCAGGAGTAACATGCATATCTTAGCAGGAAACATCTCTCTAATTGGACTTAAGATCACTTTACTAAACCAGCATAACACCTAACTACCCTTTAAATATCTGTTATATCCAGAAATAAGTGTAATCCTTCACCCCTCATCAAGGAAACTTGTCTCTGTAAAACAGAAACGATGATTACAGAAAACCACAACCAATCAAAATGCAGGGTTGTGGGTTGTTCTCACCGATAACTACAACACAATTCCTACACCTCAGGCTCAGGGACCATTGCAAAGGGGTCAGGAAGATTTTAAGATCCAGAATAGGGCATTTGCTGTGAGACTGTGTCTCCTAAAAATGTCAGAAGCTACATACATGAAGTCAACATGGATGGCTAAACATGACCCAAAGGTCATAAGCAGTAGGAATGATAATGTGGAAGGGAAAAGCTAATGAGGCCCCAGGCTTGACAGGAACTACAGGCAGCTCAGGAATGCTGATACCAGGGGGGAGAAAGTCTTCCCCAGGGAAAAACTCCCAAATTAGAAATCCATTACTAAATGCTCAGCCTGGAAATCTTATATAAAAACATTAGAGGGACTGAACTGGTTATATTTATGTATTTAGGAACACAGACACACACACGTAACAAAAAGAGGCCATAAATCTAAAAGAGTGTGGCATGTGTGTGTGTGAGAGAGAGGGGGCGCTTTAAGAAGCAAATGGAGGGAAACAATGCTACATTATCTCAAAAATGTATTTAAAATCTCTGGCTAAGATGTACATATTTGTGTACATATGAGTGTCTTTTCTCCCAGGTGACTTACCTTGGCTATAGTGCACATAAGGTCAATGGCATTTACTGTGTTGTGTACAGGAAGTATTCGTAAATTACTGCCCAAGAATCTGAAAAGAAAGTGGTTAAGTAACTAACTGGTACTTGCTGTTACAGGCGGCACTGAGGAGGGGCAGAGCTCTAATGTACACATGTCCATTCAGTCACATCCTGTTTTACGCCTTAGAAGATTTGAGGTGGCTGTGTAACCAGGATTTAGTGCTCACTTTGGTTTGCTTTTGTAGAATAGGCCCCTTACCGACATCAACTCTGGTCACCCTGACTTAAGGAATAGCTGTCTGCCCTGTTTGATTACATATGACAGGTTATAAAGTTTACCTTCTAGCAAAACTCAACTGCCTAAAAGTATTAAGAACTGAAGTAAAGAAAACTAAGAAAAACTGGTTGTGCTTTGCTCTCATACCTCTGATGAATTCTGAACATGAGATTCCATTCTTCAGGCCCATGGAGTGGAGCAAATAGAACCAAAAAACTATTTTGGTGAATATTAATAAACTTGTCGATTTTGGTTAGAAATATTTCCTCAGCTGATGTCATACATTCCTTAGCATCCATCAACAAAAATGCAACTCCTAAGAAAGGTGGATATGATGACGTTACACAGAGCTATAAGCTCAATAAGACCAGGGGCCTTAAAAGCATAAGGAATAGCATTTACTACAATTCTTACATAACAAAATGGTTTGGATATTTCTTTGACATGCTCTAGAAAACAGAATGACTTGCTCTAAATATTTAAAGGAAAAATAATGGCCAGTAACTTTTTTTCTGCCAAGGAATTGAGCACATGAAGGTGACACCTAATTTTAATTAAGAGATTAAGTCTATTTTAAAAGTTAACCCTACAGGCCATTCCAGGCTATAGAGACAACCATCCAGGACTATAGAATGAGAACTTAACTCAAAAAAAAATTTTCATACTAAATTTTTATGAAAATATTTTCTGGCTTATAAGAAAAGCTATTCCAAAGGATATGAGTAAACAGCCAAAAGAAGATGGACGGGGCAGGTGTCCAGGAGGCAACGTGTCCCCCAGGACTATATTATAAACACAATATACAACTTAAATTGATTGCTAGGCAAGTGGAGTTTTGTATTTTTACCTTGGTACCAAAGCAAGGACTTTTCCCCATCTTCTACCAGACTCCGTCTAACAGAAAGGACAAATCTGTCCCACAGTTGGCCATATGTACTACTTCTGCAGCAAGCACAAAGTGCAACTTTTACTCTTCCAAAAGATAACACACTATGAGATTCTGTCATTACTGAACTACAAAAATTAGCATGTGCACCCACATATTTTACAAAAAAACTTGAGTAAAGGCAATTAACAAATATACTTTTTTGCAATTAACAAATATACTGTACCAGAGAGAGAAAATACAATTGATCCACTTTCCAGTGTATCAGAATACCGAACCTTGTGGCTTCGACTTTCCAGGGCAGTTGCAATCTCGTAACTCTTAAAACAGAATTTTCAGAAACACGAACATAAGACATGCTTGAAGTGATTTTTATTACAGCTAGTAATTAATTAAAAGTGTCTAATGGTTTGTTCTATCACTGTTCCACTTAAAGACTGATCACCACAGAAACAAATCTACTCTCTGGGGCAAAAGACTGAAAAGGAAGTAGTGAAACTCTTCCTCCTGAAATTCTGAGTGTGGATCTGGAGATGAGTGAGTGTTCCTTAGGGACAGAGATGAGGGCAGTGTCAAGGAACTTAGACCTGTCAATGTTCTTGCATGCATTAGTGTGTAACTGTAGAAGAAGCTGGGAGTGGTTCTGTAGATGGCCGAGAGGTCCATACAGTAACGCAGAATACCATATAGGTGACAACCAACCTCCTAATTCATGTCTTTACACTACATTTACTGTAGATAAGCCAGAAAATATATAAAGTTGGCATTACTTTATTCTGATTTAAATATTACCATTAAAAGTTATGACCTTATTTACTGTTCTATCCAAACAACTAGATTATATCAGTCAAAAGGCTAAAACCTAGTGGTTAACATATTTCCTAACTGGTTAGAACTCAAGCTTGTTAGTCTCCACATTAAAAATAAATCCATTAACTAGGTCAGGGAGGTAGCTCAGTGGGTAAGAGCACTTCTTAGCTTAGTGGGTAAGCATTAGGAACTGAGTTCAAATTCCTAGATGTCATACAAAAAGTCAGGTATGGCCACACATGTCTGTAACCCCAGTACTTGGTTTGCTGGCCACCAGCCTAGCTCCAGATACACTGAGCAACTCCATCTTAAGAAAATATGGCAGAGAAGAGCAGAGCAGGACACATGACAACAACCTCCTCTGGCTTATGCAAAGTTGTGTATAGGTGTTTGCATCCACATCCACACACAAACACTCCTTACGGAAACTGAATTTATACTTTCTTTCAGAACAATATCATTTAAGCACAGTCTAAGATATACGCTTTCTTTCCTATCCAAGGAGATTATTTCATGTTCCTGAACCCTTGTCCTTGAGTTCAACCATGCCCCTTTCTTGGGTGTCTTTTAAATTGTACACTGCTGCCAGCAATGGCAGATTCAGTAATTTAGGCCAACTCTGCTGAAAGAACTTGAAAAACAACAGTTTAAAAAAAATCTGTACAAATGCATCAAAGAACTAGCAGGATAGTTGAGAAACTATGAGGCCAAGATCTATACAAAAACTCAAAAGATATGACCCCAACATGTAGGCCATTTCTTCCCCAAGGGCACCTGCCAATTCAAGGACAGAGGGAAAGCTGAGCAGAGCTTTTGACAAAAGTGGAGCAGCTCTCACAGGAATGCAGCCAGCCTCAACCACTCAGTCCCTGAAGTGCATCAACCATGCAGAACTGCTAGAGCTTACAGGACCTGGAGAAGCCCTTCCCAGTCAGGCCTTCTCACAGCAGGTCTGCTGTTAGAGAAGAAACCTGAATGCCTGCTTCTTCCCCATTCTCACATAATTAGTGCCATCCTAGATGCACAGAAGGCTAGTTAACTAATGGCACATGGCTTGGTCTGCCAGATTTAGCAAATTCAAATAACACTCAGTTAAACTTGAATTATAAATGTAAAATTTGTTTCCAGTGCTGGGAACCAAATCAGGAGCTTTGCACATGCCCTCGACCAATGATCAGTCTTGTGATGTAATTTAAAAATGTATCTTATGTAATATTTAGAACTTATATTAAATGCATTATTCATCTAAAATTAAAATTTTGTTTTGCCTGGCAAACAGAGCGTCAATATAATCCTATTACAGAATTAAAGCCTTGGTAGATGAATAGCATATTATTCTAAATGTATTATAGACTGACTTCAAATTACTTGTACAATTGTAAAATATAAATCACAAAACACACACACACACACTCATACCATCCAGACATACAGAAGTAAGGTTACATGAAAGAGAACCACCATAAATAGTTGCTAATAGGTCTGCTTTCTATATTCAGGTGATGAAAGATCTTGAAAAATTTAGCAAAGAATTAAAATACATGAAAGAATGCAACAGATATGCACGAGCCAGCAAAGCTGCCAAAAATGTTAATCATATCTTTAAAATTAAAAAAGTAGTATATTGAGCAGAAAAAGACAAAACAAAACAGCCAGAGCTGAGAGGAGCAGAGCAGAGCAAGGCTTCAGATGCAGGCGCTGGTCTGCTGGGGGGCAGGTAGACACAGTCAGCAACGTCACAGCAAGGCTGGGAGTGACGGACACAAGTCTTGATGCTCCAGAGGCACTATGCTGGTGACTTACAATCATAAAGTAATAAACAACAATCAGAAAGTGCTAAATTGGAGAAAACAGGGTGTTTGAGGGCTTTTTAGAAACAATCTAGAATTTAAGACTTTGTTTTCCAAACTGCTTTATATTCACAAAATAGGAAAAGATGCTACTTGTCAGGGAAGATCAGAGGCTGGGGATGCAGATTAGTACTTGCCTGGCGGAGAGCCTGGGTTTAGCCCTCAGCACTGCCAAAACAAAACAGCTAGAGCTACAAAACACTGGGCACTATTCTGCCTCCTTTGGTGTTTTAAAATGCACTAGAGTCCATCACACGTTCTGAAGAGCAGTGCAGCTTATTAAAAACTTGCTTCATTTTGTTTATACATCACAAATAAATATAATAACCTCCCTGAATATATAATATCTAGTAATATCCTTTAAAACTAGTATCTAGAAAATCTCACATGAAAGAAAATACAGATTTAAATGGAAAATAGCACTTAAATTTAATAGCACTTTAAATAGAATGTAGCACTTAACTGATCAAAAGTTTATTAGAAAATAAAAAGAATTCCCATATGAAGATCTTCCTCATAGAAATGGCAAATTTCAGAGTTCAACTTAACAAATTTAACTTCTATGATATGGATAAATATTTGCAAATATATAACTTATAAAAAATATACTCTGAACACAGTATAAAACAACAGAGAAAGAAACCATTCCTTTTCTATATTCCTTAAGAGGTTAGGAGCACAAATGATTGAATCTTGCACACACCCCAGTTTGGAGCATAAACCTAGGGCTCTGCGAACACTGGGCAGGTGCCCTACAACAAGGATGCTTTCCCTGTCCAGGGCAATCTCTGTAAGCCTTTATGTCTAAGTCATACACGCACATAAGGACTCTAGGATGAGGGAGACTGCAGAGAGGTAAACCTGTCGACTCTGCAAAAACACAACACAGAAAACCACAGACCAATCTTCAGTAAATACTGATGCAAACATAAAATGTTAGCAAAAGAAATTATAAGAGAATAGCAAGAAAAATCTACAGTAGCAACTCTTCTAACAGAACCACAAAGATTTGTTACTTAGAATCTTCTTGGTAAATAATACCAAAAAATTTAAACACTGATCACCTCTGGATGCACTGAGATATCAGATCACAGGGGCTCTGATCTGATGAATATTTAGTATACTCAATCAGTATATTAATTAGGGTTCAGAACCAGAATACTCAACATGACAGGGAAGGCAGGACTTGGGATGCTGGAGGCAGGAGGACCAGGAGGTCAGGCACTAAAGGCTGTCCTCAGCTACAAGTTGGAGGCTAGGCTCAGCTATGTGAGACCCTGTCTCAGAAAAATAAAGTAGGAATAAATAAAAAATAACCAGCTATTTTTTTAAAAAAGAGGCCAAAGAAAATATAAATATAAAAGACGCACCTGTAATCACTGTACTTGGGGTTCAGTTAGGAGGGTAAGAAATCCTCTAGGTCTTCAGTTCTGTAGTGAGTTTGAAGCCTGTGCTAATGAGACCCTACCTAAGGAATGGCACTAGAACATTTCCAACTTTCAAAGATTTAGGGAATTGGGGTTTTGAAAGTAAAGGCAAAACCTTTATAACTAACTTAGAAATACATTTAGCATATTTACTTCCTGTTCCCATAACTGAGGATATGTTAAGCCAAGGAGTTTCAAAATGCTGCCTATATGAGGTGTGTTAAGTTTTGTAAGTGAACATCAGTGGTCTAAATAACCCTTTACCTTAAGAGATGAGCTGATAATAATGGTGGTTGTCCATTTTACTCTTTCTTTTCCACTACGTTCATCCATTGATATGCCGCTGGATAAGCCCAGCTTCTAAGAGTGGCACAATCTGAGAGGATGAGGAATGGAGGAAACAGAGATTTGATGAGTGAATAAAGTGTCTCGTGCAGCCTTTGTTGACCTCAAGCTCGTTCCTCTTCCCTCCCCACCTCCCAAGTGCTAAGGCTGTGGGTGTGAACCACCAGGCCTGGCTCTGAAGGTGTGAACCACCAGGCCTGGCTCTGCAGCTTTCTTCTAGAATTTAGAAGCAATTGCTTGTACAACACTAACCTAAAGAGAAGAGGACGTGTCCACAACTGTGAAAGCCCTAAAGTTTTGTAAGCCATTTGTAAGCCACAGAGTTACCCTACCAGTATCAGGATACAAACAGAAGATTCAAACTCAGACAAAAGGACAGGTTTTACCCACAGTAGTAGTCCCAGGACAGCTTCAGCATTAGCATTCTCTGGCAGCGGTACTAAAGCCCATACCCATCGAGTCAGTGGGCAAAGGCCAAGTGACTGACATATGAGCACATATAGGCTGTAACATAGGAAGGGAATCCGTGTATAAAGAGTCTCTAGCCTTTTATAAACAATTCTGAATTCTACTCTGCAGGCAATTCCCATCTCCTACAAAACATGTACATTTAGCAACTAAACACCTAGCAAACCCAAATTTTTATAGAATTCTCCAATAAAAGAAACTAGGTTCCTTGGAGACAGTAGGAGACTTGTAGGAGTTGGGCAGGGAATATGTAAGAAGGGCCAGAGTTCTGTATCACCCAGAAGCAAGGACATGTTTAAAAACAAAGGCAGAAGACAAAGCACACTGACAGGTATGTAAGGACAGAGGAGGACAACGAAGTGGCCAAAGGTGAACAGAACAGCTGAACAAATAAACAAAAAGCAGAATTGTATTATAGTCTAAAGTATAGAATAACGTTCAGGAGACCATGTTAATACACATTTTAAGCTAACCAACATGTGAGGACTGTGACTGTGGAGATGGCTTTGTGTGCAAGAGCTCTTGCCCTGCGAGCACAAAAGCCAACCTGGAGTTGAATCCCCAGCACCCATGTACAAAGTCTGGCGAGGCTATGGCTGTAGGCCCAACACTGAAAGGCAGAGACAGATCCTGAGAGCTCATTAGCCAGCCAGCCACGCTGAAAAGTAAGCTCCCCAGTCACTTATCTCAAGGCAATAAATGGAGGACAAAGCAGCGAGGAGGACACCTCGTGTCCCACTCTGGCCTCTACGCAACACCCCCACCCCACAGACACCAGGAGGACACCTCGTGTCCCACTCTGGCCTCTATGCAAAACCCCACCCCACAGACACCAGCTCCACACAACTGATGGAGAGCCAACTTTAAAAACCTTTAGATGAGGTTGGAGAGATGGCTCAGCAGTTAAGAGCACTTATGCTCAGAAGTTCTGAGTTCAATTCCCAGCATCCACATGGTGGCTCACAACCATCTGATGCCCTCTTCTGGTGTGTCTGAAGACAGCTACAGTGTACTCATATACATACAATACATAAATAAATCTAAAAAAAAAAAACCTTTAGGTGAGGTTGCACATGGTAACTTTCTTCCAAAGAATATAGTATGGGACAGGATGGGTAGCAGTTTTGTCCTGGAGAATCCTGCGAATGCTACTTCGCTCACTGGGAACGTCTACACTGAGTCATGAAGTACGTTACTAGTGTCTATCTTTGATATGATATAGCTTTCCTCTCAGTAAATCATCTGATCATAAGAAAAACAACGAGTTTCATTAGAAAGTCATCTTAACAAATGATCTGAGTAGTACTCCATAAAGAAATCAAGCCATTAAAAGAAATCTGAACAAATATTACAGCCTAATTACCTATGGAAATATTTTGATTAAACTCGATGTATTATCTAGGTTGTGATCCTGGAACAGAAAAAAAAATAGATGTTAGGTCAAAAGTAAAAACATTTGAACAAACTTGAACTTTAGCTAATAATAATACAACAACACTAGTTCATTAGCTGTAGTAGAACCGCCATGCTAACATGTTAATGATAGGGAAGCTGGGCAAAAGACGTTATCGTTATAACAACAGGAGCTGGGGGAGGTACTGGCTATACAGGTATCTTAGTTACTTTTCTATTGCCATGATAAAACATGCCCAATGCAACTTCAGCATTTAACTTGGGGGCTCATGGTTCCAGAGGGTTAGAGTCCATCACCATGAAGGTGAGGAACATGGCAGCAGGCAGATAGGCACAGTGCTGAAGCAGTAGCTGAGAGCTTACATCTCATCCACGGGCATGAGGGAGGGAGGGAGGGAGGGAGGGAGGGAGGGAGGGAGGGAAAGAGAGAGAGAGACAGAGAGAGAGAGACAGAGACAGAGACAGAGACAGAGAGAGAGAACTATTAAAGCCCACTTCCAGTGATACCTCCTCCAGCAAGACCACAGCTCCTAATCCTTCTCAAGCAGTTCCACCAACTGGGGACCAAATATTCAAACATCTGAGCCTATAGGGGCCACTCTCCTTCAAACCACCACACTGGACATACTCTGCATTACTGTCTCAAATTTTGTATTAATCTGAGTTCTCCAAAGATAGCTTACTTAGGACCATAGAGATAGCTCAACAGTTGAAAGTGTATATTAGTCTTGTCCTGGAATCCAGAGCAGTGATTAGAAACCACATGTGACCCCAGCTCCAAGAGGATTGATGCCTCTGGTCTCCTTGGGCACCAGCACTCACATGCACTTGCACATGCACCCACACACATACATACAGTCACATCCTATGCAAAACTGAAAATAATAAATCTTTTTTTAAAAAAATTGTTTTTATTTTATGTGTATGGCTATTTTGCCTGTATGTATGATTATGCACCATGTGTGTGCCTAGTAGCCACAGAGGCCAGAAGAGTATGTGAGACTTCCTAGAACTGGAGTTACAGATGGTTGTGCGCTGCCATGTAGGTGTTGGTAATTGAACCCAAGTCCTCTGGAAAAACAGCCAGTGCTTTTAATTTCTGAACCATATCTCCAGCCCCCAAATGATAAATCTTTAAGATAATAAATAAAAAAAGTTCCATTACAAATACCTTTTCTTAAAAGCTTGTTAAAAATCTTGTCTACTCCAAGAAACCAACCCTTTAATGAAGTGAGACTTATTCAGAATTTGCCTTACTCTATTGAACACTTAGCACATTTTCTCAACAAGATTTAGAGGTGCATTTGATTTCATCAACTAAATCATAAACTTCTTAATGTCAACTAGATTTATGTTCTGCATGTTACCTAATACAGAAGTAGTTCAAAGCTAAATTTAGAAAGCAACTAATGCAAAGGAGATGGACAGTCAGTGTCTCCCAAGGCAGGGCCACTCCGTTTACGAACAGCTCTGATAATTAGCAAGTTCTTCCTGCTGAGTTGAAACCTGCTGCTCCATAATTTCCTCATTTATTGCATGAATGAATGAATGACAAACCAGCTCCCCTGAGAGCAAAGACATTTTCTGCTGTACCTACTCCAGCCCTTGACATATGGTGAATAAAGTAAATTCATCTTCCCACCCTGATGGAAGTTATTTGATGATGCACCCACAAATGAATACCCAAGTACAGACTGTGTGAATATCGGTAATATATACGTTTGTTTAACAATTCACACAAGTATAAGGATACTTAGGTTTGAAAACCAACTGTATGAGAAGTGATTTTGAGAACTGACAAGTTGGAAAAGTATTGGGGTCAGTAATTTCCCAAAGGTGTACTGTTGAGGATTAGAAATCAGAAAACTAGGGCTAGGAAAGAAACTAACTTCTACATTTCCATGGGAAAAAGTAGGCTACCAGTCAAGAACTCATAACTTCTGTATTAGGTAACATGCAGAACATAAATCTAGTTGACATTAAGAAGTTTATGATTTAGTTGATGAAATCAAATGCACCTCTAAATCTTGTTGAGAAAATGTGCTAAGTGTTCAATAGAGTAAGGCAAATTCTGAATAAGTCTCACTTCATTAAAGGGTTGGTTTCTTGGAGTAGACAAGATTTTTAATAAGCTTTTAAGAAAAGGTATTTGTAATGGAACTTTATTTATTTATTTATTTATTTATTTATTTATTTATTTATTTTTCCATGGGAAAAAGTAGGCTACCAGTCAAGAACTCATTTACTCTTGAGCAACTTATTTGGCCAAATCACCTGGCTTCGAGTTGGCGGCCTTCCTCTTCTGAAAATGACCATAGACCCACAGGGTGAGAGGCTGGATGGCTCGGCAGTTAAACGGGGCTTCAAATCCCAGCACCACATGGTCTCCTTGGACATTGAACATGCATGTGTACACAGACATACATGACGCCAGAAGACCCACAAACAAAAATTAAAAAGCCAAGAAAACTTAAGAGACTACTGAGTTGCCCTCAAGTCCTGGGCTTTTGCTGTTTCTGTTTTTCCCAAGACTGAGACTGTTCCTACATTTAACTATATTTAGTGTTGCAGAGTGATTTCCGGAAAAATCACCTTCGCCTTCCTTGCTTGTGTGACCTACGTGATCTTCATGGTGTGTCCTAGTCCTTATTCTTTAAGTAAAGAACTGTGGATAAAGAAGACAAAGCATAAATTCACAGGGCTCACGGCAGGCCAGAGGAGCAAGAGCACGCTGAGGCGCCTTCCCTGCCAGGGCCTCTCAAGGGCAGGAAGGCTCCTCCCTCAGGCCACCAGGCCCTGAGTTAAAGATGGCATCTCAAGTCAGAGGAAACACCACTACCGCAAGAAACAAACTGTGGAGAGAGGTCTGCGGCGCCATCCACAGGCTGCAAACCCACCTGACTGCCAGGCCCCGCTGCACTGCGCTCCTGCACTCCGCTCCTGCACTCCGCTCCTGCACTCCGCTCCTGCACTCCGCTCCTCCCGAGCGCCCTGAGGTCTGTGCTTCGTGAGGGCCTCCCTCGCCGCAGTGCCTGCTGGGCGTTGGCTTTTGCGCCGCCGCAGACTCAGCTCTGACCAAAGGCTGCTGTCAACCGAGAAGGATGGTG